GTCACCCTGCCTTGGTGGGAGACAGCCGACTTGTTAAAATAAATAAATAAAAAAAATAAATAAATAAATATAAATATATATATATTATATAAATAAATATATATATAAAAATATATATATATATAATATATATATATATATATATATATATATAATATATAAAAGAAACACTTTCACCATCATTCACACAATATCAGTCTTTGCAGCGGTGCCCAGATATAACAGTTCAGATGTCACTTCATACAGACAATATCCCAAACTCTTCCTTTAAAGTACAGACATTATACTTCCCACCCCCTGGACTCAAGTCTGGCTAACTGGTTTCCCTGAATCCCTTCACAAAATATTACCTTGCTCACACTCCTACAGCTCATCAGGTCCCAAAACAATTCATCTCCATTCACTCCTAACATGCTCACACATGACTGCTGCATATATACATTTTTTTTTTTTTTTTTCAACAAGTCGGCCGTCTCCCACCGAGGCAGGGTGACCCAAAAAAGAAAGAAAATCCCCAAAAAGAAAATACTTTCATCATCATTCAACACTTTCACCACACTCGCACATTATCACTGTTTTTGCAGAGGTGCTCAGAATACAACAGTCTAGAAGCATACACATATAAAGATACACAACATATCCCTCCAAACTGCCAATATCCCAAACCCCTCCTTTAAAGTGCAGGCATTGTACTTCCCATTTCCAGGACTCAAGTCCGACTATATGAAAATAACATGTAAGTATATATTATGCCTATGGGCCCATATGTCTTGGTCAAGATGGGTTTAGTGTATGTTTTTACAACAATAATAATAATAATAATAGTTAACATATTTGAGGAGGAACATTTTCGAGTGAATTTGACAACATTGTTGACTTTTATTTCACTTGAAGTGTTCGCTGCTCTGTTAATGTACAAGTTTTAATCTACTTACTAGAAAAGTAAAAGTTGAATATGAAAACAAAATGGCTAGCTACCATTTCTAGAAACTCTAATACATATGCAGAAGTCTTTTATGACTTGTGTGGGTTTACCGCATGTTTTAGAATTAATAATAGTGTTTCTGGACCTCTTGTCTGCTAACTTGCTTGAGGAAAGTCACCAGTTAGACCAAAATTATTTCTTAGAAAATGCTATATGTATATACATTGCTCTTGGTGCCAGTGAGGGGGCTCTTGATCCAGGGCAGTGCTGTATGACCCTTGTGGATTTAGCATTTAGTTTTAATTATAATAATAATCTTGATCGAGGGAACTAAGACTTATTCCCTCAGTAGATAAATATTGGAAAAAAAATTTATGCAGTTTATCGAAGATTATTATTATGACAGATTAAATTCACACGTATGTAATGTTAGAAAAATTTCAGCAGGATATATATTGTACTGCACTCAGCGGGAACTTTACTAATCCAGTAATAAAGCTCCTGCTGAAGGAATCATATGCTAATAAAGCTTTACTTTACTAAAGCTGCTGATCTCTCTCTCTTATACAAACTAATGCAGTGAGTTTCCTCTGATAATAATTTAATATTCAGCAGTGATGAGTTAGAGAGGACACATAAGTAGCTCTTTGCTTAAGAAGCATGTTGACCTTTCAGTGTCTAGAATGATCAGAGAGATAGAGATATAGATATAGATTAGGTGTAAACATAAATAGCAAATGAATGCAATGACAGAGTGAGAATACAAGAGATCGTGAGTGAGAGTACAAGAGAATGTGAGTGAGAATACAAGAGCAGGAATGAGAGAGAGAGAGAGAGAGAGAGAGCGAGAGAGTGTGTGTGTGTGTGTGAGGCAGACAACACCAACAGTTGCCCTAACATTCTCCACACAGCAGCAATTTGAATTCACTTGGGTTGTGAACCATTTTATTTTACCAATTTGTGTGGTATTTTGATGTTAAGTTTAAAATAAAAAGATTGAAATTCTCTCTCGATTTTCTTTACCCTTAAAATAGATCTCATGACTTATTCAGATATACTACACTAAAGTATATTGGCCACATTTCTAGCAAACTCTTGTTTTTTTGCTGGAATTCTGGACACTTCAATATTCAAGGAAATGAGCATGCAACCACAACCTCTCATTCTGCTAGTCACACTCTGCTAGTTTCCCACAGCAAAGTGTGGAGGGGATGTCCCTTCATCAGATCATTTCCATTACTCTTTCAGTGACAAGTTGGAATGCAATATAATGTTTTCCATCAAACCTCAGTTAGGTTCCTGACCAGTCTTCTTTCCACTGCTGCTGGGTGTGGGGAACCACGCTCCCGTCGTTATAAATTAAACACACGTGGATACTGAATGGAGAACACCTGGTCCATCTCTCTGATAGATAGGATATATAGACTGTCTTATCTATCAGAGAGCATGCAGAACTTACTTCTAATGTCCTCAGCAACCTAACACACTCACTTAACTTTGTCCTCACTGTTAGTCACACCTTCAATGCTGACTGACTTTTGTCACAAATTTTTGCATCTGTACTGGCTCCACTATCTTCTATATTCACACCTCACACCTTAGCAATTTATAACCCATCTGGGTTTAGTGCCCATTTTCTGGATATACTAATAATCCCCTAAAGGGAGGTACTTTGATGCCAATGATAGGCTATTGATCCAAAGAACCAAACTTATCTTTCCCTTCCTTGGATTGAACCCATATGCTTCCCATTCTGTAGGCATTGTGACTCCTACAGTTTAACACCAGAATGCTTAACCTCAAAAGGGTCATATTGTTCTGCAGCCATAAAAAAAACTGGTCCAACCTGTGCTGTAACTGACAATGCAAATTTGTAATTTTTATTATACACAAATGTGTACATGATCTAACAGTGATATTCACCCTAAAGCCAGAAAAAAAAAGATACTGCCATAAACTATATGTCAGATGCACTCGGCTAATTATTATTATAATCAAAGCTAAGTGCTAAGCTCACTAGGGTCATACAGCAGAGCCACCAAGGGAAGGAACAAAACACTTTTGTTTCAACAGCAGCAGCAGCAGCAGCAGCAGCAGCAGCAGCAGCAGCAGCAAGAAGCAGCCCAGGAGACTAACACTCTGGTAAACTTCTTTAAAACACAATTTATTTTAATGCATGAAACCCCTCAAGGGAGGTTCCTCAATGTTGGTGAGGGGCTCTTGATCCAAGAAATTATATCTTACCTCTCCTTGGATCAAACCTGATTGAATCCCATTCTGCTAGACACAATATGACCCCAAAGAGTTTAGCACTCCCTTCCTCTTTTTTTCATTAATGAAATGTTTAAAGTACAGTATATTACTATATACAAGTATATCTATAACAATAAATAAATTTATTTTCTATTTTTCTATTCTGAACACAGCAGCTGTCTCCCCTCACAAGAGGCTCTTGATGCAAGCAGGTAGATGTATCCGTTTCCTTGGATCAAATTTCATCCCTATGGGTTTAGAATTTCTCCATAACTATAATACTGTGCAGTAATAATATATTTCCCAAGGGCAGTGCTATACTTGTGTGCTGCTAATGCAAAAAGTATAATTTTTTGTTTATCATGTTCAACAAATCTGGCTGTTTGCTTAGCAGTGTCTACCCTGATCTAAATGGTATATTACAAGGTGAGAGCAAAAATTAATTGTCTGCCTAATTAAATTAGTTTATTTTTGGTGGGCTACTATGCATCGGTAACTTAAAGTGTGCAGTGCTCACAATAATACATCATCAACAATTAAGTTCTCCTTAAGGGAGGTTCCTCAATTCCAGCAAGGATGAGGGAACCTTGTTCAAGGAATTGGACCATATTGGCTTCCAATTCCCCCAGATGCTGTATGACCCCTATGGGTTTAGTGCTTCCCTCATAATGTAATAATACTGTCCTCTCAAGGGAGATTCCTTGATGCAGGTGAGGGGCTCTTGAACCAAGAAATTGGACCTGCCTTTCCCCTTTCTTGGATCAGATGTGAATGCTTCCCATTTTCCCAAGTGCTGTTACCGCTACAGGTTTACCGCTTTCTCATAAATGTGATAAACTGAGGTATTTTACAGAATACAATCTTGATGCTGGCAAAAAGCTCTTTATCCCAGGAATTGGAGCTACCCTGCCTTTGCCTGAATCAAACCTGACAACTTTTCATTCCCAAAGAATATATTATAAATATTTTATTCTATATACAGTACCATCTTCACAGTAATTGATGCAAAACATGGATAAAATGTTCAACCTTTTTCTTTTTAGGTTATCCTAAATTTATTTTACAACATTTACTTCTAATGTATGTACATAATACGTTCACTGCAATTGTATAAATATTTAAGTCTATCTCCATGGGGAAGTGGAATAGAATTCTTCCTCCGTAAGCCATGCGTGTTGTAAGAGGCAACTAAAATGCCAGGAGCAAGGGGCTAGTAACCTCTTCTCCTGTATATATTACTAAATGTAAAAGGAGAAACTTTCGTTTTTCCTTTTAGGCCACCCCGCCTCGGTGGGATACGGCCGGTGTGTTGAAAGAAGAAGAAAGATTTAAGTCTATAAACTATACTTAGTGAACCTAATTACATTATCATCATTATTATTATTGTTGAAACAGTATAACATTTAACAGTATTTAATAGTACAGTAATTTGCCATTTTCTCTAAGGTTTATTTAGACTTTATGTTATCTAAGGTTAGATTTTTGGCCACAGTAAGACTGTGTGGTCATGTCTCTCTCTCTGAATTCACCTTTCATTTGACTGAGGCCATGAGTTTTTCATCAACTTGTAATATTACAGCAGGGCAGAACTCTGAGTTGTGAATGCCTCTGGAAAAATAGTCATGTACTGGAAATAAATGATATAAAATACCGACACAATGGAAATATAAACACATATGCAGTATAATGTGATCCTTTATTGACAACGTTTCGCCCACACAGCGGGCTTTTTCAAGTCACAAACAGATCACATTATACTGCATATGTGTTTATATTTCCATAGTCATGTACTATAATGTAGATGTGGTTCAATAATAAAAAATTCATACAAAAACTTTAATTCCTTTACCTTCATAAGTAATATACTCTCAGGAAATACTTACATAGAACTATAATATAACTATTATCTATAATATAATTAATATATGTAATTTCTTCATAACACATTAAGCAAAAATAGTGTTTATTAATAAAATAGTTCTACATGAATAATTTTATTTTTCAAAGACAAAGCAATATATTTTATCTATAAGAGAATGTTTTTATCAATATATAATACAACACTTAAACTACAATACTCCTAAGATGAACCTTTCCATCTATATAAGTAAATCCTGAAGTTGAAAAACATAGTATGAAAAGCTATAATCAACTGACAGAAATCAGAAGTGGTAAGAAAGTATCAAAAGGTTCATTATTTAAAGGGATTTTTGCCCATGCCCATGGGTCCACCGCCTTGCTGAAGCTGCTTCATCATGGACTCGAGCCCCTTGAAACCTCCCATCTGTTGCAACACTCGTGGGTCCATCATCTTGGCCATCTGTTGGTTCAGCTGGTTCATCTGCATTTGGTTCACATTTTTGGACATGTCTCCTCCTGTTGACATAATAAAATTAATTATCTATTTGTGATTAATATAGTCTACATCTTTTATTATTATTATTATCACACTGGCCAATTCCCACCAAGGCAGGGTGGCCCGAAAAAGAAAAACTTTCACCATCATTCACTCCATCACTGTCTTGCCAGAAGGGTGCTTTACACTACAGTTTTTAAACTGCAACATTAACACCCCTCCTTCAGAGTGCAGGCACTGTACTTCCCATCTCCAGGACTCAAGTCCGGCCTGCCGGTTTCCCTGAATCCCTTCATAAATGTTACTTTGCTCACACTCCAACAGCACGTCAAGTATTAAAAACCTTTCGTCTCCATTCACTCCTATCAAACACGCTCACGCACGCCTGCTGGAAGTCCAAGCCCCTCGCACACAAAACCTCCTTTACCCCCTCCCTCCAACCTTTCCTAGGCCGACCCCTACCCCACCTTCCTTCCACTACAGACTGATACACCCTTGAAGTCATTCTGTTTCGCTCCATTCTCTCTACATGTCCGAACCACCTCAACAACCCTTCCTCAGCCCTCTGAACAACAGTTTTGGTAATCCCGCACCTCCTCCTAACTTCCAAACTACGAATTCTCTGCATTATATTCACACCACACATTGTCCTCAGACATGACATCTCCACTGCCTCCAGCCTTCTCCTCGCTGCAACATTCATCACCCATGCTTCACACCCATATAAGAGTGTTGGTAAAACTATACTCTCATACATTCCCCTCTTTGCCTCCAAGGAAAAAGTTCTTTGTCTCCACAGACTCCTAAGTGCACCACTCACCCTTTTCCCCTCATCAATTCTATGATTCACCTCATCCTTCATAGACCCATCCGCTGACACGTCCACTCCCAAATATCTGAATACATTCACCTCCTCCATACTCTCTCCCTCCAATCTGATACCCAATCTTTCATCACCTAATATTTTTGTTATCCTCATAACCTTACTCTTTCCTGTATTCACTTTTAATTTTCTTCTTTTGCACACCCTACCAAATTCATCCACCAATCTCTGCAACTTCTCTTCAGAATCTCCCAAGAGCACAGTGTCATCAGCAAAGAGCAACTGTGACAACTCACACTTTATGTGTGATTCTTAATCTTTTAATTCCACGCCTCTTGTCAAGACCCTCACATTTACTTCTCTTACAACCCCATCTATAAATATATTAAACAAGCACGGTGACATCACACATCCTTGTCTAAGGCCTACTTTTACTGGGAAATAATTTCCCTCTTTCCTATGTACTCTAACTTGAGCCTCACTATCCTCGTAAAAACTCTTCACTGCTTTCAGTAACCTACCTCCTACACCATACACCTGCAACATCTGCCACATTGCCCCCCTATCCACCCTGTCATATGCCTTTTCCAAATCCATAAATGCCACAAAGACCTCTTTAGCCTTATCTAAATACTGTTCACTTATATGTTTCACTGTAAACACCTGGTCCACACACCCCCTACCTTTCCTAAAGCCTCCTTGTTCATCTACTATCCTATTCTCAGTCTTACTTTTAATTCTTTCAATAATAACTCTACCATACACTTTACCAGGTATACTCAACAGACTTATCCCCCTATAATTTTTGCACTCTCTTTTGTCCTCTTTGCCTTTATACAAAGGAACTATGCATGCTCTCTGCCAATCCCTAGGTACCTTACCCTCTTCCATACATTTATTAAATAATTGCACCAACCACTCCAAAACTATATCCCCACCTGCTTTTAACATTTCTATCTTTATCCCATCAATCCCGGCTGCCTTACCCCTTTCATTTTACCTACTGCCTCACGAACTTCCCCCACACTCACAACTGGCTCTTCCTCACTCCTACAAGATGTTATTCCTCCTTACCCTATACACGAAATCACAGCTTCCCTATCTTCATCAACATTTAACAATTCCTCAAAATATTCCCTCCATCTTCCCAATACCTCTAACTCTCCATTTAATAACTCTCCTCTCCTATTTTTAACTGACAAATCCATTTGTTCTCTAGGCTTCCTTAACTTGTTAATCTCACTCCAAAACTTTTTCTTATTTTCAACAAAATTTGTTGATAACATCTCACCCACTCTCTCATTTGCTTTCTTTTTACATTGCTTCACCACTCTCTTAACCTCTCTCTTTTTCTCCATATACTCTTCCCTCCTTGCATCACTTCTACTTTGTAAAAACTTCTCATATGCTAACTTTTTCTCCCTTTTACTACTCTCTTTACATCATCATTCCACCAATCGCTCCTCTTCCCTCCCGCACCCACTTTCTGTAACCACAAAACTTCTGCTGAACACTCTAACACTACATTTTTAAACCAAACCCCATACCTCTTCGCCCCCCATTGCCTATGCTCTCATTAGCCCATCTATCCTCCAATAGCTGTTTATATCTTTCCCTAACTGCCTCCTCTTTTAGTTTAAAAAACCTTCACCTCTCTCTTCCCTGATGCTTCTATTCTCCTTGTATCCCATCAAACCCTTTTTACTCTCATGTAGCTACAACTAGAAAGTGATCTGATATATCTGTGGCCCCTCTATAAACATGTACATCCTGAGCCCTACTAAACAGTCTTTTATCTACCAATACATAATCCAACAAACTACTGTCATTTCGCCCTACATCAAATCTTGTATACTTTTTTTACCCTCTTTTTCTTAAAATATGTATTACCTAAAACAAACCCCTTTTCTATACAAAGTTCAATCAAAGGGCTCCCATTATCATTTACACCTGGCACCCCAAACTTACCTACCACACCCTCTCTAAAAGTTTCTCCCTACTTTAAAGCATTCGGTCCCCTACCACAATTACTCTCTCATTTTGGTTCAAAGGCTCCTATACATTCACTAACATCCCCCCAAAATCTCTCTCTCTCCTCTGCATTCCTCTCTTCTCCAGGTGCATACACGCTTATTATACCCACTTCCCCGCATCCAACCTTTACTTTAATCCACATAATCTTGCATTTACACATTCATATTCTCTTTTCTTCCTTCCATAACTGATAAATTCAACATTACTGCTACCCCTTCCTTTGCTCAAAACTCCTCAGATACTCCAGATTTAAATCCCATTTATTTCCCCCCACCGAAACTCCCCTACCCCCTCGCTTTGTTCGTTTAGGCTAGGATATCCAACTTCTTTCATTCATAACATCAGCAATCATCTTTTTCTTGTCATCTGCACTACATCCACGCACATTCAAGCATCCCATTTTTTATAAAGTTTTTCTCTTCTCTTTTTTAGTAAATGTCTACAGAGAAGGGTTACTAGCCCATTGCTCCCGGCATTTTTAGTCGCCTCATACGCCCACGCATGGCTTACGGAGGAAAGATTCTTTTCCACTTCCCCATGGACAATATAAGAAATAAAGAAGAACAAGAGCTATGTAGAAAAAGGAGAAAAACCTAGATGTATGTATATATATATGCATGTGCATGTCTGTGAAGTGTGACCAAAGTGTAAGTCGGAGTAGCAAGATATCCCTGTTATCTAGCATGTTTATGAGACAGAAAAGACACCAGCAATCCTACCATCATGCAAAACAGTTACAGGTTTCTGTTTCACAGTCATCTGGCAGGACGGTAGTACTTCCCTGGGTGGTTGCTGTCTACCAACCTACTACGTACATCTGTTCTATTAATATATTTTGAACATGTCTGATCTATGCAAACACACTAAAGATGCAAAATAAAATAAATGATTCTTCTGTATTGCATTATGCTTCACAACCAAGCATTTTGTTTTTCCCATCAAGATAGTTATTCTTTCATTATCTAAATCAGCTTATTACTCTTATGAGAAATATGTAATATAGACAATAAACTTTAACAAGAACCAAAGCCATCCACCTCAGCCCAGTAGTCCCACATCAACCTCTCCGCACTACATTTCAAGAGAAAGCAGGCTCAGCTATACTGTAGAACATTTTATGTTGTAAAACAGTAGAAATAAATGAAAATTTACCTTGAATTTTCATGGTACTTTACTGTGCTACGCTTACCTTTAAAGAGGCCTTTCATTCCACCCATTTTCTTAACCATCTGGGCAAACTTTGCATACTGGTTGAGCAGATCTTTCACTTCAATTTCCATCACCCCTGCACCTCTTGCAACTCTACTTATGCGATTACCCTGCTTTTGGAAGAATTTATTTCCGTCAAGACTGTCAAGTTCTGCAATTGAGAGAATACAATAATGTTTATTTTTAATCAGGCTACAGTAAATCCTGTCTGTGGTAATTGCTCTAACACTCATTAAATTTACTGCTGCTTCTGAATTATACAGATTCTCTTTAGAACAGCCTTTTACCTGAAAGTTAAGACACATGTGCAACATCTGGATATCTTTATTGTAGACGTTTCGCCATCCAGTGGCTTTATCAATACAGATTCTAGGACATAATAGGAAGACAGTAGAACTATATACAAAAGATGAGGTAATCAGTCCCTCGGCCTTGGAGTTAGTGTTCACAGCATCGTGGTGGAGGAGAGTCTGGAGCAAAGGCAAGAAGACTGGCGTTTTTATAGGCGTCAGTGGAAGGGACGGGCAGCAGACGAGGGCAGTCACTGGTAGGCGGGATTCCCCAGTGAAGTAGGACCTTCCCCAAAGAGAGGGGTTTTAGTTGCAGCAGCCCGTGAAGAAGGTCTTGTAATGTCCTTCTTCACGGCTGGCTGCAACTAACCCATCCTTTGGGAAGGACCTACTTCCACTGGGGAATCCCGCCTACCTTTGACTGCCCTCGTCTGCTCCCCTCCCTTCCACTGACGCCTATAAAAACGCCAGTCTTCTTGCCTTTGCTCCAGACTCTCCTCCACCACGATGCTGTGAACACTAACTCCAAGGCCGAGGGACTGATTACCTCATCTTTTGTATATAGTTCTACTGTCTTCCTATTATGTCCTAGAATCTGTATTGATAAAGCCACTGGATGGCGAAACGTCTACAATAAAGATATCCAGATGTTGCACATGTGTCTTAACTTTCATATTGTCGGTATTTTATACCTTTCTTGCACAGCCTTTTACCTGCCTAAAATATTTTTCTCAAACTTTAAATTAGCAATCTAATATATACATGCATCCACTGATGCATTTCCAATGTACATACAATGCTCAAATAAACTGCTATAAAATTCAATTAGGTAATCCAGAGAGGCACATAAAGAAGTCTAAATAATACATCACAAAAATTCTGCAGAATTATGCTAATAAACGTGAGAGGATGGGAAAGGGGGAGGAAAGCAGACATCTATTTACATGAATATTATCCCAGCAGTTGTGAGACCATAAATTATTTACACTTATTTTTTTTTTAACAAGTCGGCCGTCTCCCACCGAGGCAGGGTGACCCAAAAAGAAAGAAAATCCCCAAAACGAAAATACTTTCATCATCATTCAACACAATTTTTATTAACTGCTTTGATTTACATTAATCAAAGCAGTTAATAAAAATTCCAAACAAAACATTTTCATTTCCCTACATGAATTAAGATATTTCTTCACTCTTTAATTTCTACTGATAATATTAATTGCAAATGATCTAATGAGAATGCCTGACACCTATTTGAGTGTTGGGAAGTGTTGATTATTTTTACTGTACAATACAGTCCCTGCAGTACAAAACCACTTTATTTATAAGCACCACAAACAGTTGCTCAGTTTAACCTTTGATTATGAAGGTGACACCATTCACAACAGCTAGTGATCGTTCTTTTTCTGATTGCTGCTCTAACGTCATTTTATAAAAATTGTACAACATTTGTGTAATTAAGCACTGGGACCCCTGTGAGCATAGTTCTGCTACACAAGTAATAGTAAGAAGACTTCAACCATGGAGAAATAAAATAGGATAACTGGAACCCATATGAGAAATCAGACTCTGTTACCATAAGAAATTCTGCATTATGTTTAAGGAAAAATATTATTAACCAGGGAGGTTGGACCTTCTTTTCAATGCCTATAAGATGTATTGAGAAAATTGGAAATGGAGTGCTCTCTAGGAGTAAACAATTGCTGAATGAAATAAAAGTAAACAGACTACCACCAAAGAAAACAATGATGTAATCTAACAAGCACAAATGAATGGTGCTGCATTAGAAGGGGGTGTTTACAGCAGGGCTAATTCAACGGCAATCCATCTACTCAGCAAAGGAGACATACCTGATAAACATGACTGGCTCCTATTTCCCTAGGGGTTATATGACCCCTAGGAGTTGAGAACTCACCAAACAATATAATAATAATAAGAATAATAATAATAATAAGCAAGAAAAAATATACATGACTGAAAATTTCAGATGAGTTGCAAGAACATTAAAAAATACTGGACAGCAACACAGTAGAGGTTGACTCCATACAGAAGTTCAAATTTAAAAATAAATATGAAAAGGCTATTTCATTTTTTTTAACACTAGCTGTCTTCCACCAAGGTAGGACAACCAAAAACATTCCACACTACTATGTATATCCTCACCCCTCCCTTCGGAGTGCAGACATGCACTGTACTTCCCACCTCCAAGACTTATGTCTGGGTAACTGGTTTCCCTCAATTCCTTTGTAAATACATGTATAGGCTTCCTCACACTCCATCAGCATGTCAAGTTGTAAAAACCATTAGTCTCCATGCATTCTGATCTAACATGTTTACACATGCCTGCTGGATGCTCAAGCCCCTAGTACTCAAAACCTCTTTACCCCTTGTCTCTAACCATGACTGCAATGATCCCCTCACTTTCTCTTCCTTTCAGCCCAGATTTTTTTTTTTTATTTACATATTTTACAGGGTAAGAGCTGTTATCGTACCTCAGCTCATTTCAAAGCCCAGCCCTATCTAAGATATATTAACCCCCTTCCCCCAGGATGCGACCCATAACACTTTAACACCCAGGTACCAACTTACTGCTAGGTGAACAGAGACACCAGATGTAAAGAAACCTAACCAATGTTTCCACTCATGCCAGGGATCGAGCCACAGACATTCAGCATGTACAATGTAAAACATACTATGTACATAAATTAATAAAACGCTCATAGTAACTTTAAACCCTGTTAAATATGACTCTTGTAGAAACAGAGGACATATACACAAATGTTGGCATCTACTGGTTTTTGTACCTTCATCAGTCATGCTGTCCATGATGGTCATTAGCCTCTTGAGTCGTGCCATGCTCTCCTGCTCTCCACCTTTCGTCAGGAAGTCTGTACTAAACCCTGGCAACATACCCTGAAACATACATAAATATTAATCAACCTAAACCCAGTGCTAATCAAATGAGCTAAACTCAGATGACATGCCATTCAACACTCAAGTATTACTCAAATCTCCTAAGCATTACTAGACAGTTTCATACATCTGAAGTCAATTATATATTTAAAGGATTTGAACAACACTTACTGTAATGAAAGTTAACCACTTACCATAATTTGTGACATGGGTCCCATTTTGCGAACATTCTGGAATTGTTCATACATGTCTCTGAGGGTGAAGTGGCCGTGCTGTAACTTCTTGATGAGTGCCTCGTTGTCTTCGAGTTTCAAATCATTTACCTGTCATCATTTAACGTTTCTGCATTACCTTTGTTCAAAATTCTTTAGAATTATAAATTTTCTCATGTTAACAGATCAGTACATACAGAATATAAGGGTTATGTGAAGCATAACAATTACCCCAAAACTAATAATATACAATACTAATATTTCCATGTTAGACAATGAACTTACGTATTTTGAGAATGAGCTAGAAAATTATAAACAATATATGTAAATGCAAGGAGAATAGATACAAATTAAGGAAAAAGAAGCAACCACACTTGATGGAAAATTTTGTAGGGTGACATAGGAGAGAGCTAACTGTCATTCAAGTAACCTGCTGGAATCTCATTCCACCTCCTAACACTAATCTTAAACTAGCTTTTCTTTGGTCATTGCCACAACAAAGAAAGGTATCCCTGGACCCCTATAAATCCCATGTTGCTTTAAGAATCTGAATACGATACATGCACAAAAAAAAAAATACCAAAACTTGGAAATAGAACTACACTACCCCTTTACAATTCTATGCTTTATTTCCCTAAGAGACACAACTGAAGAAAGTTTGAGGTCAATTTGTAGAGACATTCACAGGTTCCTGCATCAAAATTGTGCAACATAACAGAAAAATGATGATAATGTAATAAAACAACAAACCAGAAGAGGTACATGCCTTCCTAGGTAGTAGGTATATGCCTTCCTAGGTAGTAGGTACATGTATATACTTTCCTAGGTAGTAGGTACATGCTTTCCTAGGTAGTAGGTATATGCCTTCCTAGGTAATAGGTATATGCCTTCCTAGGTAGTAGTTATATGCCTTCCTAGGTAGTAGGTATATGCCTTCCTAGGTAGTAGGTATATGCCTTTCTAGGTAGTAGGTATACACCTTCCTAGGTAGTAGGTATATGCCTTCCTAGGTAGGAGGTATATGACTTTCTAGGTAGTAGGTATATGCCTTCCTAGGCAGTAGGTATATGCCTTCCTAGGTAGTAGGTATATGCCTTCCTAGGTAGTAGGTATATGCCTTCCTAGGTAGTAGGTATATGCCTTCCTAGGTAGTAGGTATATCCTTCCTAGGTAGGGATTAAAGCCTTCCTAGGTAGTAGGTATACACCTTCCTAGGTAGTAGGTATATGCCTTCCTAGGTAGTAGGTTGGTAGACAGCACCTGCCGAGGGAAGTACTACCGTCCTGCCAAGCGAGTGTAAAACGGACACCTGTAATTGTTTTGCATTATGGTAGGATTGCTGGTGTCTGTTTTCTGTCTCATAAACATGCAAGGCTTCAGGTATGTCTTGCTACTTCTACTTACACTTAAGTCAGTCACACTACACATGCATGGACAAGCATATATATACACACCCCTCTGGGTTTTCTTCTATCTCCTTACTAGTTCTTGTTCTTGTTTATTTCCACTTATCTCCATGGGAAAGTTGAACAGAATTCTTCCTCCGCAAGCCACGTGTGTCGTAAGAACAGACTAAAATGCCAGGAGCAGGGGCTAGTAACCCCTTCTCCTATATATATTACTAAATTTAAAAGGAGAAACTCGTTTTTCCTTTTGGGCCACCCTGCCTTGGTGGGATACAGTTGGTTTGTTGAAAAAAGAATAATATTAAAATAAAAAAAAATATATAATTTATTTATTTATTTATTTATTTACTTAATGCCAGCTACTGCATTACCACATTATTTTATTTAATGTCAGCTACTGCATAATAACTTTTGTGTCTCAACTTTAATCTAATCCCAGACTAATTACCCTTTCTCTTAATTTTTTTTAATAAGAATATAATTATTAAAAATTATTAGTACATTATTGTTGTTTCTGTTATAATAATGTCTTACCTTTTCAATGAGTCCTTCGATATCTCCCATACCCAGTAATTTTGAGATGAAGGGCTTTGTTTTGAATTCCTCAAAGTTGTCAATATGCTCACCAGTACCTGTGATGAAACATTTTGTGACACTTTAGTCATCATTTACTAATTTTATTATCAAGTTTTGCAAGTGCTTTTTAAAAAAAATTGTCAGGCACTCTTGATAAACAGGAACTTATTTTCCATAGAATATATAACTTTTTCAGCAATTCTTATGCTATCAAGGTTACCCAGAAACCATCAATGACCTTCTTTTCAAATGAGAAATTTCTTATTTCTATTTGAAATTTCTCTATAATTAAGACTCCCGAAATATAAATTAGTTGGAATAAAAGATACACCAATGTATTTTTGACACCCTAGCTGTATTGATTAGTGAAGCATATGCTGTACATATACAGTAGTATTTAAATTTGTACATACAGCCTCTCCTAACTTAACGATAGAGTTCAGTTCCTGAGACCACATCGTTAAACAAATGCGTCGCTAAATGAGGAGCATACTATAATTGTAGTGGGTTTGTGTGAACCATCTCTGATACCGTTTTAATGTCGCCTTTGCACCATTTATAACATTTCTGGTATATTATTAAATGTTTATACAGTAGTGTACTTTATACTGAAATAAAAAGAATAGAGAAAATCAGCTCTAATATGGTCACAGAGCCCATCATAAGTCTGAGGCGTTGGTAAACAAGTACATCGGTAAGTGAGGAGAGGCTGTATTCTATTCTACAAATTTAAACAGCTTTTCTCTCACTCACCAATGAAGATGATAGGAGACTGTGTAGCAGCAACAGCTGAGAGAGCACCACCACCCTTGGCATGACCATCCAACTTGGTAATGATTACTGATCCAACATCCACTTTCTCCTTGAAAGCACGAGCCTGGGACTCGCAAGCTTGACCGATACTGGCATCCATAACAAATATGATGTTTTCAGGTTTCTGTTGGATTATTAACACAAAATAAATACATTAAATGAACATATCAATTAATAATTTGCTGCTAAATTATAGTTATATTTCTCAAGAAAATTTACTAGCCTATAGACCTCCATATACAAACCTCTTACTCCACAAAAAATCTTAATTTTCCTTTTGTACTGAATTACAAAATACAAGAGTAAAAAATGTTCACTAACAGCTACTTACACAAACATTAGAAATCTGCAACATTTCTTCAAACAGAGAATCTTCCTGCTTATGACGACCAGAGGTATCAATGATGATAATTTCGAAACCTTCTTTCTTAAATTGCTCCACTCCATCCATAGCAATAACTACTGGGTCAACTTCTGTGTAGCTGCAAAGGTACCAGATGGTAAATTACAAGTTTCCATGTTCACTAGAGATTAGGCAGTTCATATTCAGCAGCAACCACTGAAACACAGCTAGAATGTACATTGGAACCTTGGTACTCGAACAGCTCTGTACTCAAACAATTCGGTACTCTAAAAGGACACAAGTGCAACTAATGTGACATTTTATTGTGGCAACATTTCGCTCTCCAGGAGCTTTGTCAAGCCAGAACATGTGCATCAGTCTCCCCATAGTGCAGTCTCCCCATAGTGCAGTCTCCCCATTGCTCAGTCCAAAACTCCGGTGAACTTCTCTATAAACTATTTCGTGTTTCTTCGCATTTTTGAGTTTTTTTTTTTTTATATTATTTTATTAAATCTGTCACCATGGGGCCTAAGAAGATTAGTGATAACAGTCAACCAAAAAGAAAACTGGTTAGTGTGTGTTTGCCCTGATGTAAGCGCTGCCTCTCCATATAATATGCCTTTTATTAATTTTGGCATCTTTATTGTGCTTCTAGGTTATCTATTGTGTTTCTGATATCAAGTTGAAATAAATGTGATAGATAACCTTTAATGCTAATACTGGCGTAATTATACAACATTGTATTTGCGCCACCGCTAGTATCAGGCTATCAAGACACCTCATCAGATACTGAATGCTCCTTCTGCTGGCCCTTCCCCTTCTCTCCTATTGCTCCTCCCACTTCTGGTCCCTCTTATATTATGCTTGCTTTCCATTTTGTATTTTTATTCACATAAAGAATAGAAGATTTACTGTTATGCAGACTCCTGCATTATTGAAAAAATGGTATAAATAATATCAGCACATTTGTGAAAGCATATTAGACCCACGAGTTGACATGTATTGGATGATTGACATGATTTGTTTACTCTTGAACATTAGCAAAAATCGAACATTTCCGCTACTTTGAGCTCAATTTTGAGGTACTTTTAGTCTGTAAACCATTAAAAATCATCTCTGTTTTTGTAATATATCTTTCATTCTATCAAATAAGACCAAGACAATGAGAATACAATCATAAATACCATACAAAAATACACCGCAAAGCTGCTGTGAGTGTATTTTTGGGGTCTGAAATGGATTAATCAAAGTTACATTACTCCTTATGGGAAAAATTCGTTCAATACTTGAACAGATCAGCACTCGAACAGCCTTCTGGAATTAATTAAGTTCGAGTACCAAGGCTCCACTGTACTTTTACAATGAACAGCACACACAGGTTTCTTCTTTTGCTGGTAAGGGCAAATTGATGACAATTCAATTATATAATCATTTCACAATGGCATCTTTTGATGAAACAATAACATTGCATGAGGGGACAAACTGCTTAATGGCCACTGCTGCTAATAAAAAGCAATCTATTTTGTAGTGCTAAGTAATGAGTTAAGAGTATAAATAAAAGAAAACCTAATCTGTAGTTTAAGTATTACAGTACAGTAATGTAATATTCAACAGTGTTGCATAGGTAAACTTTTTTTTTTTTTTACTTTAGCTTGGCTAAAGTAATATATGCAACACTACAGCCAAACTGTATGTCTACCTATCAATATTTCAAGCAGATTATTTTTACTTAATAAATCTTAATTCATTCATAGTATAATGGAAGAAGGAGTGGTGATGATGATGATGATGACCACAGTGACAATGATGAATACAGCAACCATGAAAATGATGATGATTAGTGACAATGATGAATACAGTAACCATGACAGTGAAGACAACTAAAGCAAGCACTACAATGTGACATGTAGAGTAATTACTTCTACTTATGAATGAGTCTGGTAATGTTCAGATAGAAGCAGCATCTGATAATGACCTTTCAGATACTGAAAAAACTACACTCACTTAAATCATAAGAACATAAGAATGGAGGAACACTGCAGAAGGCCTACTGACACACACAAGGCAATTTTTTTTTTTTAATAAGTCGGCCGTCTCCCACCGAGGCAGGGTGACCCAAAAAGAAAGAAAATCCCCAAAAAGAAAACACTTTCATCATCATTCAACACTTTCACCTCACTCACACATAATCACTGTTTTTGCAGAGGTGCTCAGAATACAACAGTTTAGAAGTAGTTTAGAAGTATATACGTATAAAAATACACAATACGTATATCCCTCCAAACTGCCAATACCTCAAACCCCTCCTTTAGAGTGCAGGCACTGTACTTCCCATTTCCAGAACTCAAGTCCGGTTATATGAAATAACCGGTTTCCCTGAATCCCTTCACTAAATATTACCCTGCTCACACTTCAACAGCTCATCAGGTCCCAAATACCATTTGTCTCCATTCACACTCCTATCAAACACGCTCATGCACGCTTGCTGGAAGTCCAAACCCCTCGCCCACAACACCTCTTTACCCCCTCCCTCCAACCTTTTCAAGGATGACCCTTACCCCACCTTCCTTCCCCTACAGATTTATACACTCTACATGTCATTCTACTTCGATCCACTCTTTCTAAATGGCCAAACCACCTCAACAAACCCTCTTCAGCCCTCTGACTAATACTTTTATTAACTCCACACCTTCTAATTTCCACACTCAGAATTTTCTGCATAACATTTACACCACACATTGCTCTTTGACAGGACATCTCCATTGCCTCCAACCGCATCCTCGCTGCAGCATTTACAAATCAAGCTTCACACCCATATAAGAGTGTTGGTACTACTATACTTTCATACATTCCCTTCTTGGCCTCCATAGATAACATTTTTTGCCTCCACATATACCTCAATGCACCACTCACTTTTTTCCTTCATCAATTCTATGATTAACCTCATCCTTCATAAATCCATCCGCTGACACGTCGACTCCCAGATATCTGAAAACATTCACTTCTTCCATACTACTCCTCCCCAATTTGATATCCAATTTTTCTTTATCTAAATCATTTGATACTCTCATCACCTTACTCTTTTCCATGTTCACTTTCAACTTTCTACTTTTACACACACTCCCAAATTCGTCCACTAACCTTTGCAATTTTTCTTTAGAATCTCCAATAAGCACAGTATCATCAGCAAAAAGTAACTGTGTCACTTCCCATTTTGTATTTAATTCCCCATAATTTAATCCCACCCCTCTCCTGAACACCCTAGCATTTACTTCTTTTACAACCCCATCTATAAATATATTAAACAACCATGGTGACATTACACATCCTTGTCTAAAACCTACTTTTACCGGGAAGTAGTCTCCCTCTCTTCTACACACCCTAACCTGAGCCTCACTATCCTCATAAAAACTCTTTACAGCATTTAGTAACTTACCACCTATTCCATATATGTACTTGCAACATCTGCCACATTGCTTCCCTATCCACTCTATCATATGCCTTTTCTAAATCCATAAATGCAATAAAAACTTCCCTACCTTTATCTAAGTACTGCTCACATATATGCTTCAATGTAAACACTTGATCTACACATCCCCTACCCACTCTAAAACCTCCTTGCTCATCCGCAATTCTACATTCTGTCTTACTTCTAATTCTTTCAATAATAACCCTACCGTACACTTTTCCAGGTATACTCAGTAAACTTATTCCTCTATAATTTTTACAATCTCTTTTGTCCCCCTTCCCTTTATATAAAGGAACTATACATGCTCTCCGCCAATCCCTAGGTACCTTCCCCTCTTTCATACATTTATTAAACAAAAATACCAACCATTCCAACACTATATCCCCCCCTGCTTTTAACATTTCTGTCATGATCCTGTCAGTTCCAGCTGCTTTACCCCCTTTCATTCTATGTAATGCCTCACGCACCTCCCCCACACTCACATCATGCTCTTCTTCACTCCTAAAAGATGGTATACCTCCCTGGCCAGTGCATGAAATTACTGCCTCCATTTCTTCGTCGGCATTTAAAAGTTCCTCAAAATATTCTCGCCATCTACCCAAAACCTCCATCTCCCCATCTACTAACTCCCCTACTCTGTTTTTAACTGACAAATCCATTTGTTCCCTAGGCTTTCTTAACTTGTTTAACTCACTCCAAAATTTTTTCTTATTTTCATTAAAATTTCTAGACAGTACCTCTTTCACTCTATCATCTGCTCTCCTTTTGCACTCTCTTCACCTTTCTTTTACTCTCCATATACTCTGCTCTTCTTATAACACTTCTGCTTTGCAAATACCTTTCATAAGCTACCTTTTTCTCTTTTATCACACCCTTTACTTCATCATTCCACCAATCACTCCTCTTTCCTCCCGCACCCACCCTCCTATAACCACAAACTTCTTACCTAGATTCTAATACTGCATTTTAAAACTATTCCAACCCTCTTCAACCCCCCCACTACTCATACCTGCACTAGCCCACCTTTCTGCCAATAGTTGCTTATATTTCACCCGAACTTCCTCCTCCCTTAGTTTATACACTTTCACCTCCCTCTCACTTGTTGCCATTTTCCTCTTATCCCATCTACTTCTTACTCTAACTGTAGCTACAACTAGATAATGATCTGATATATCAGTTGCCCCTCTATAAACATGTACATCCTGGAGCCTACCCATCAACCTTTTATCCACCAATACATAATCTAACAAACTACTTTCATTACATGCTACATCATACCTCATATATTTATTTATCCTATTTTTTATAAAATATGTATTACTTATTACCAAACCTCTTTCTACACATAGCTCAATTAAAGGCTCCCCATTTTCACATTTACGCCTGGCACCCCAAATTTACCTACTACTCCCTCCACAACATTTTTACCCACTTTAGCATTAAAAATCCCCAACCACAAGTACTCTCACACTTGGTTCAAGACTCCCCACGCATTCACTCAACATTTCCCAAAATCTCTCTCTCTCTCCTCTATACTTCTCTCCTTCCCAGGTGCATATACGCTTACTATAACCCACTTCTCACATCCAACCTTTATTTTACTCCACATAATCCTTGAATTAATACATTTATAGTCCCTCTTTTCCTGCCATAGCTTATCCTTCAATATTATTGCTACTCCTTCTAACTCTATTAGAAACCCCTGACCTAATCCCATTTATTCCTCTCCACTGAAACTCACCCACCTCCTTCAGCTTTGTTTCACTTAAAGCCAGGACATCCAGCTTCTTCTCATTCATAACATCCACAATCATCTCTTTCTTATCATTCACACAACATCCATGCACATTCAGACTTCTCACTTTGACAATTTTCTTCTTCTTTTTAGTAAGGGGTTACTAGCCCATTGTTCCCAGCATTTTAGTTGGCTTTTACAACACACATGGCTTATGGAGGAAAGATTCTTATTCCACTTCCCCACCACTACCCAAAGCTACCCAAGAATTTACTCCGGTACCCACGACACCAATCAAACCCAGCCCCTCCCACTCATACATTTGTCCAATCTCTTTTTAAAGCCACCCAAGGTCCTGGCTTCTATCACCCTACTCAGAACATTGTTCCACGCATCCACAACTCTGTTCGAAAACTAGTACTTTCCTATGTCCTTTCTCAATCTAAATTTATCTATGACAGTACTCCTTTTTTCCCCACTTTTTCCTTCCCTTTTATTTTTCTTTACCTAGTTTTCTGCTTCTACATTCATAACATACATAACCCTCCCCCCCCAAAAAAAAAGAAACTGTTTCCACACAATCTACTTTTAGTGTGAGTCTGTGTTTACTGATTAATTCACTTGACACGCAAATACAAATTTTACTTACTACTACCTGAGTACATATTACTCTTTCAAAATTTGTTAAAATAACCAACTAAAATTTCAGATAAGAGACTCTTTTGTAATTCAACCTTACCTGCCATAAAAGGGTATGCGAGCTTTAGTACAGTTCTGTTTCACCTGATCAAAAGCACCAGCTCGGAAGGTGTCTGCACATACCAGGCAAGTCTTCCAACCCTTTCGCATATAATAGTATGCAAGCTTGGTACATGTTGTCGTCTTACCGGAACCCTAAAATATACATGTGAAAATACATCATTATTCTGTATCTATACACTGCCGTGTGTAGAAGATATTTTAGGTATCTTTTATGAAACAGTGAATGATTTTTACAGGTTTAGCACTTTTTTGTGAATACAGTACTGTGCTGGATCTTGGTAATAGCAATATTTTTTTCATAAACCGAATAATTCTATATGAATAAAATCACTACATATACAACTAATTTTACTGCTTCAACAAGTTATGCAATTAGTGAAAACAGTATTTTATTTAGCCATTGTATAAACATAAGTAATACACTGATGATACTGCACTAATCACAAAATATTCAATATTAATGTTAGCTCAACAAAGTCTCATATCTTATTTCCTAGGAACTCCACTTTAAAGGAACAGTTCAAAATAAGGTATATTAGAGTTATCAGTTTAGCATAACAAACTTGCGTCAATCTTACATTCATATTCCACATATTTGTTAATGTTTGGCAAAGTGCAGTGATAATATGGCAAGTCAATATAGTATATGCATGACTGTATATAAAATCTATCTCAAACCTAATTAACCTAACACAAAACAGGCTTTCCTCCCTCCATGCAAGGTATTCTTGAGTACAGTACTGTGCTTATTATTTATTCTAATTTATCATCTCTCCTATACAAAAGTCCTGTTCACTTTGTAATCTTCACTATTTAATAAAGATGTAATACACTGTTTTTTTATTGTAAAAGGAAATATGTTAAATCATTGAGTATACATTAGAAAACAGGAATAAACAGGATATAAATAATGTGCTGAACTCGATGGCAACAGATATAAATTGGACAAATTTAGATTTATAAAGAATATAGGAAGCATAGTTTGGCAAGAGTTGCAGATGAGTAAACAAACACCTAAGTAGCCTCATAGGTGGGGAGAACTACGCAGCTTTAAATAGTTTGGAAGAGTACATGAGTAGGTGTGGTTGGGTGCAGTAGTAAGTGTAGTTGGGTACAAGTTGGATTCTTGTAGAATGGGCCAGTAAGCATGCTGCATGCTACTTCATTCTTATATTATGTGATGGAAACTGCAAGTGACTTTGGTATGAATAAACTGACTATTCCTACAATTAGAAATAAGAAAAACAGGAGCTCATGGATTATATCAGTAATACCGATTGTCAAAAAAATGTCAAAGAGCTAAATAAGGTTGGAAAAGTTATAGTGTGTAATAAATGGCTTAAAAGTCAAAACATAGATAGGGTCTCTATAGAGTGATCAAATATGGCAGAAAAGCCCTGTTATATTATAAAACTGTGTGAGAAAGGTGAGAATTCACAACAGCATATGTTTAGTGATTGATGGCTTGACAGTTTTAAAAAGTGTAATCATTTTATAAAAGTTTTCTGGTTAGCTTTACAAAGTACTGCAGTTTAAAACATACTGGACACACATAATATACTTGAGCATTCCATTACAATCATCAGCTACCGACATCTCTGCATCCACATCAACACAACTTTACGGTCATCCACCTCATCCCAATAAGCCCACAATTGCCTTCTTCACACTCTTTCATTATAAATTAAGAGGAAAGTACAGAAAGACCCCAGTATCCTTGGAGGAATGTGTTCCAAGGACCTGCTGTGGATACCAAAACTGTGGATAGTAGCAAACCCTATGTATAAGTCCTGTACATACCTCTTATAAAGTTTAATTGATAAATTATGTACAATAAGTGGAAAATTATCACTTTTTCACTGATGGGAAGCACTTCATGGCCTCTCCCAGGCTTTGAAGAACTGCCAACTTCTCTAGTTTTGCACTTTCCACTAGGAATTTTTATTGACCTAAGAAAAGCTTTTGACACAGTAGACCACGGCATCCTACTCAACAAACTTGACCATTATGGTATAAGAGGTCATGCGCTTGCATATTTCAAATCCTCCCTTGCTAATAGGTATCAGTATGTCACCATTAAAGACACAGCATCATCAACATGGCCACTTGATACTGGAGTTCCACAGGGAAGTGTCCTTGGACCCCTGCTCTTCCTCATTTACATCAATGATCTTCCAAACATATCCCAACACCTGAAACCCATTCTCTTTGCTGATGACATGACTTATGTCATCTCTCACCCTAATCTTGCCACCCTCAACACCATTGTTAATGAAGAGCTGCTCAAAATATCAACTTGGATGACAGCCAATAAACTTACACTTCACACTGACAAAACCTACTATATTATGTTTGGTAGCAGAGCAGGTGCTGCACAACTAAACATTAAGATTGACAGCACTCTAATTGCCAGACATAATGAGGGAAAATTCCTAGGCCTATACCTCGACAACAACCTGAATTTCAGCACCCATATCCAACACACGTCAAAAAAAGTATCCAAAACAGTTGGGATCCTCTCCAAGATACGATACTACGTGCCGCAAAATGCCCTTCTCACACTATACCATTCACTCATTTATCCATACCTCACCTATGCTATTTGTGCTTGGGGATCAACTGCAGCAATACACCTAAAGCCAATAATAACTCAACAAAAAGCCGCAGTAAGAATAATCACTAAATCCCATCCCTGGCAACACCCCCCCTGCCCACTCTTCATAGATCTAAACTTACTCCCTGTTCAGAACATCTAAATTTACTCCCTGTTCAGAACATCCACACTTACTACTGTGCAATCTACATACACAGGACCTTAAATTCAAATATTAACCTTGACCTAAAATGCTTTCTTGATAGTTGTGACAGGACCCACAAGCAGAACATCAGACACAAACATCTCTACGACATTCCCCATGTCCGACTAAATCTATACAAAAATTCAATGTATGTCAAAGGCCCTAAAATCTGGAACACCCTACCTGAAAACTTTAAAACTGCAGACGCATTCATCACCTTCAAAACTACCGTTAGAAAACATCTTATCTACCTGATACACCTTGTCAACTAACTACATAAAAACTACCTGGTGGTTCACACTTACACTCACTCACTCACCCATTTGACTATAAGCACAGAAATACGTATCTTAATCTTAAAATAATGATTCCTAACTAGTCACAGTTTGCCTGTGATACTCCAATATAGCAACTATGTATTGTGCCAAAACAAAAGCATTCACATTGCTAAACTCACAAACTAGTATTTAGTCACTTAGTATTTAGTCAACTTACTCCACAATTTGTAATAATTTAGGGTTAAGAATTAATCTAAGTTTGCCCGAAATGCCTAGCCTTGCTAGGTGTTCTAGTGGCCCCCTCTATAATTAGTATTTTATTACATGTAAACCACACAATAACCAAAATCTGTAAACCCCACATTGTAATCCTTATAGAGAATAAACTTTGATTTGATTTGATTTGATTATTATGCAAAAGTAAGAGGTATTTTTGGGCCACAGTAAATCATGGATGACAAACTGCAGATAACGAATCAGTGGATATGGGGGTCCTACTGTACTACCAGAATGAAAGGTAGGTTATACTGCAGTAATGTTTATCTTGTACAGTATTAAAAAAATTTGGTGCACATATTTACAAGTATCTGAAATGTAACACTTTTTTTTTTCCCCATGTTCTTCACTTCACACAGTGGGATTTTAAATGCACAGATATTTGGGAGTATACCCTGCATGCTATAAAGGAGGTTAACCATATATATTTCTTTTAAGCACATTTCATTAGACACTGACCTGCAGACCAACAAACATTATAACATTGTGACGTCCTTTAACTGGCACATATGGCTTTGTTCCAGGATCCACCAACTGTAATTAAAAAATAAGAGAATTTATACAAAATGCATTTATTTGCTAGCATTCCTATCTTTTCACTCTCAATTTAAAAAAATACACTTTTTTTTACCATGAGTTATTCTAAAACAAATGCTGTGTGAAGCTGGATTCATATTCTAAAGTAAATTATGAGAAGAGAAAACATTTAATGATAAAATCTAAGTAAAATTTGCCTGAAGAAACAATTAAGGTATGAAGTTGGAAACAGCCCTAATGAGCTGTAGGAAAATAATCAAATAAACAAAGAGCCCTTTACTATACCCAACACAAAACTAGTTACCTTAACAAGTTCCTTGAACACTGTTGTCTGAATCATCCGACGCTTGTTAAGGCCACCAGCCATCTCGTCAAAATCAATTGCTGCGCGCACATTTTCCCGTAACTGTTTCACAAGTCTAATGTTGACATCCGACTCAAGCAAGGCTGCACAGATTTCTTTAAGGAGGTCATTGAGAACATCCTCATTGATAATAGTGGCATTGTTGAGGGATTTAAGGGCAGAGGTTATCTTGCGACCTAAGTCTGCTAACACCATCTTGGCTGAGCCTGTTCACAGTGCTTCAGTCTAACAAAGCTGTAAAGAAAAAATAAGTTACATAAAATGCTCAAAGAATTTTATGATTACAAGAGAGAACACAACTCTCCTTTCTCCCCCTCCCCTCCCCCCAAAAAAAGGGAACTACAGTGTTCTATATGACTACTCTCGACTCAATTCACATATAGCCCTAAATTGTGACTGTTGGTATGGTATTAATGATACTTAATAGAGCAAAACTATGGTATCTTGGTACAGGGGAAGTCTTCTGCAACTCTTTTGCCAAAACAACTGTTCAGCATGACCTACTTTCATTCATGGGCCACTCCCACCTGTGACATCATTTCTAGCTACTTCACCTCATTTCTTCTCTGGTACACAAGGTCTGCCTGTATGCCTATGCTGCAGATTTGAGGGACTGACCACCATCTACTAAGGCTGATGGACTGAGCACATCATAACTACTACTCCCACCTCCAGTGTTGCATCAAGCAACACTGGAGAAGCCTGCTGAGCAGGAGAAACGTTTCAGCAATAAATTATTATTTATCATGGGAGAGCGGTAAACCTGGATTATACAGCATTTGTGGAAAGGGGGGGGGTGCAGAAGGCATTTAAGCTTCAGGGAACTGGAGCACAGATCCAATTCCCTAGATCAAGAGCCCCTCACCAGCATCAAGGAACCTCCCTCGAGGGGTTCACCAATATTATTATTATTATTATAATCAAGGGGAAGCGCTAAACCCGGAGGATTATACAGCGCCTGGGGGGGGATGTGGAAGGCATTCAGGCTTAATTCGGGGAAGTGGAGCACAGATCCAATTCCCTAAATCAAGAGCCCCTCACCAACATCAAGGAACCTTCCTTGAGGGGGGGTTCACCAATAGATATCCAAATGTTGCACCATGTGTTTTATTAATTTCCTTTGGTATACAGGCCCTCACCAGCGTTAAGCAACGCCTCTAAGGAAGACTAATGCCTCACGATCAACTTCATGCTAAAATCATACTATTTAACTAAACTCACTTTTATAAATGCGTGCAAATTGACTTATGATCGCTGACCCAGAGTAACAGTCACAGTACATATATTAAAGTTCCGCCTCAGATCAACCTTTCCTGACCTCAGTTCCAGCTCCTGTGCCTCATGAACAATGGGTAACACGACAAGTTAAGTGTAAAATCCCAGTCATTATGAGGGAGATCAAACATCAGCTGTTAGTAACTCACGGAGAGACAGTCAGGTGTTGTTGGGGGTTGTAAGGGCCACTGACAGCTGGACACCTATCAACCCGACTTAAGAAATCGTAATGACACGATTGCAAATAAACCATACCCCCGGCCGGGATTGAACCCGCGGTCATAGAGTCTCAAAACTCCAGCCCGTCCGGGGGTATGGTTTATTTGCAATCGTGTCATTACGATTTCTTAAGTCATGTTGACGGCAGTGAAGGGACTTGAGCTAGAGTTCGTCACGGCCACGCTAGCTGGAGATTCGTCTGTAAAAACTTGCATTTGTGGTCACAGAGGTGCCTGTGCTAACTTTCCTATGGTGTAGAAATATACCTAGTTGGATGAATCTTATTGTGGCTAGCTGGTCTAGTGGCTAGCGCGACGGGCAGGAGTTTTGAGACTCTATGACCGCGGGTTCAATCCCGGCCGGGGGTATGGTTTACCTATCAACCCATTTGACTACTTCTTCATGTCCCCTCAAGGAAGCTTCCTTGATGTTGGTGAGGGGCTCTTGATTTAGGGAATTGGATCTGTGCTCCACTTCCCCGAATTAAGCCTGAATGCCTTCCACATCCCCCCCCAGGCGCTGTATAATCCTCCGGGTTTAGCGCTTCCTGGAGTTTACCTGGAGAGAGTTCCGGGGGTCAACGCCCCCGCGGCCCGGTCTGTGACCAGGCCTCCTGGTGGATCAGAGCCTGATCAACCAGGCTGTTGCTGCTGGCTGCACGCAAACCAACGTACGAGCCACAGCCCGGCTGATCCGGAACTGACTTTAGGTGCTTGTCCAGTGCCAGCTTGAAGACTGCCAGGGGTCTGTTGGTAATCCCCCTTATGTGTGCTGGGAGGCAGTTGAACAGTCTCGGGCCCCTGACACTTATTGTATGGTCTCTTAACGTGCTAGTGACACCCCTGCTTTTCATTGGGGGGATGGTGCATCGTCTGCCAAGTCTTTTGTTTTCGTAGTGAGTGATTCTCGTGTGCAAGTTCGGTACTAGTCCCTCTAGGATTTTCCAGGTGTATATAATCATGTATCTCTCCCTCCTGCGTTCCAGGGAATACAGGTTTAGGAACCTCAAGCGCTCCCAATAATTGAGGTGTTTTATCTCCGTTATGCGCGCCGTGAAAGTTCTCTGTACATTTTCTAGGTCGGCAATTTCACCTGCCTTGAAAGGTGCTGTTAGTGTGCAGCAATATTCCAGCCTAGATAGAACAAGTGACCTGAAGAGTGTCATCATGGGCTTGGCCTCCCTAGTTTTGAAGGTTCTCATTATCCATCCTGTCATTTTTCTAGCAGATGCGATTGATACAATGTTATGGTCCTTGAAGGTGAGATCCTCCGACATGATCACTCCCAGGTCTTTGACGTTGGTGTTTCGCTCTATTTTGTGGCCAGAATTTGTTTTGTACTCTGATGAAGATTTAATTTCCTCATGTTTACCATATCTGAGTAATTGAAATTTCTCATCGTTGAACTTCATATTGTTTTCTGCAGCCCACTGAAAGATTTGGTTGATGTCCGCCTGGAGCTTTGCAGTGTCTGCAATGGAAGACACTGTCATGCAGATTCGGGTGTCATCTGCAAAGGAAGACACTGTGCTGTTTACCTGGAGATTACCTGGAGAGAGTTTCGGGGGTCAACGCCCCCGCGGCCCGGTCTGTGACCAGGCCTCCTGGTGGATCAGCGCCTGATCAACCAGGCTGTTGCTGCTGGCTGCACGCAAACCAACGTACGAGCCACAGCCCGGCTGATCAGGAACTGACTTTAGGTGCTTGTCCAGTGCCAGCTTGAAGACTGCCAGGGGTCTGTTGGTAATCCCCCTTATGTGTGCTGGGAGGCAGTTGAACAGTCTCGGGCCCCTGACACTTATTGTATGGTCTCTTAACGTGCTAGTGACACCCCTGCTTTTCATTGGGCTGACATCCTTGTCTATGTCGGATATGAGGATGAGGAACAAGATGGGAGCGAGTACTGTGCCTTGTGGAACAGAGCTTTTCACCGTAGCTGCCTCGGACTTTACTCTGTTGACGACTACTCTCTGTGTTCTGTTAGTGAGGAAATTATAGATCCATCGACCGACTTTTCCTGTTATTCCTTTAGCACGCATTTTGTGCGCTATTACGCCATGGTCACACTTGTCGAAGGCTTTTGCAAAGTCTGTATATATTACATCTGCATTCTTTTTGTCTTCTAGTGCATTTAGGACCTTGTCGTAGTGATCCAATAGTTGAGACAGACAAGAGCGACCTGTTCTAAACCCATGTTGCCCTGGGTTGTGTAACTGATGGGTTTCTAGATGGGTGGTGATCTTGCTTCTTAGGACCCTTTCAAAGATTTTTATGATATGGGAGTTAGTGCTATTGGTCTGTAGTTCTTTGCTGTTGCTTTACTGCCCCCTTTGTGGAGTGGGGCTATGTCTGTTGTTTTTAGTAACTGTGGGACGACCCCCGTGTCCATGCTCCCTCTCCATAGGATGGAAAAGGCTCGTGATAGGGGCTTCTTGCAGTTCTTGATGAACACAGAGTTCCATGAGTCTGGCCCTGGGGCAGAGTGCATGGGCATGTCATTTATCGCCTGTTCGAAGTCATTTGGCGTCAGGATAACATCGGATAGGCTTGTGTTCATCAAATTTTGTGGCTCTCTCATAAAAAATTCATTTTGATCTTCGACTCTCAGTCTGGTTAGCGGCTTGCTAAAAACTGAGTCATATTGGGACTTGAGTAGTTCACTCATTTCCTTGCTGTCATCCGTGTAGGACCCATCTTGTTGAAGTAGGGGCCCAATACTGGACGTTGTTCTCGATTTTGATTTGGCATAGGAGAAAAATACTTTGGGTTTCTTTCGATTTCATTTATGGCTTTTAGTTCTTCCCGCGATTCCTGACTCCTAAAGGATTCTTTTAGCTTAAGTTCGATGCTTGCTATTTCTCTGACCAGTGTCTCCCTACGCATTTCAGATATATTGACCTCTTTTAGCCGCTCTGTTATTCTTTTCCGTCGCCTGTAAAGGGAGCGCCTGTCTCTTTCTGTTTTACATCTACTCCTCCTTTTTCTTAGAGGAATAAGCCTTGTGCATACATCGAGTGCCACCGAGTTAATCTGTTCTAGGCATAAGTTGGGGTCTGTGCTGCTTAGTATATCTTCCCAGCTTATATCGGTTAGGACTTGGTTTACTTGGTCCCACTTTATGTTTTTGTTATTGAAGTTGAATTTGGTGAATGCTCCCTCGTGACTAATCTCATTATGTCGGTCTGGGGCTCCGCGCATACATGACTGAACCTCAATTATGTTGTGATCTGAGTATATTGTTTTTGATATGGTAACATTTCTTATCAGATCATCATTGTTAGTGAAGATGAGGTCTAGTGTATTCTCCAGTCTAGTAGGCTCTATTATTTGCTGGTTTAAATTGAATTTTGTGCAGAGATTTAAAAGCTCGCGTGAGTGTGAGTTTTCATCAGAGCTGCCTCCTGGTGTTATTACTGCAACAATATTATTTGCTATATTCCTCCATTTTAGGTGCCTTAAGTTGAAATCCCCCAGGAGCAAGATGTTTGGTGCAGGAGCTGGAAGGTTTTCCAGACAGTGGTCAATTTTTAACAGCTGTTCCTGGAATTGCTGGGATGTTGCATCCGGAGGCTTGTAGACTACCACAATGACTAGGTTTTGGTTCTCGACCTTTACTGCTAAAACTTCCACTACATCATTTGAGGCATTTAGCAGTTCTGTGCAAACAAATGACTCTGCAATGTACAGGCCAACCCCCCCCCTTTTGCCTGTTCACTCTGTCACATCTGTATAGGTTGTAACCTGGGATCCATATTTCGTTGTCCAAGTGATCCTTTATGTGGGTCTCAGTGAAAGCCGAGAACATTGCCTTTGCCTCTGCTAGCAGTCCACGGATGAAAGGTATTTTGTTGTTTGTTGCTGGCTTTAGACCCTGTATATTTGCAAAGAAGAATGTTATCGGACTGGTGGTATTGTTGGTACTGGGGGGGGGATTTTTTTTCCGGCATTAGTATCTGTATCTGTTGGTTTGGAGTGGAGGCCATCGACTGTGGTTCCACTCCAGGAATGACTGGATTTGGTGTACGATTTCTGCCATTTCCTGCCAGTTTTTTTTCCTTCCTGGCACTAAAAAACCTCTCCTTCTTGAGTGGCTGTGGCTACCCAGGTTTTCCCATGGCCTGGATGTTTTGTATCTTTTTGTCCCCTTTAGATGGTATGCCTGGCAATTTAAGTTATAGCACAGTCTTTCCTGTACTGAAGAGGTACACAGTTCAGGGTGAAAAAGCTTACAGGAAGGGAGTTTGCATTTTCCTGTTGTCATATGGGTATGGCATTTTCTAGGGTGGTCATAGTTGCACGTCCCATCTGTTTTTCCAGATTTCCCATGCCAGCAGATACCGAGTGCATAGTATGTGCACAGGCTTGGTTTCCGTTTGCCTTGGGTTTCTGTGACTGTATTCCCTGTTGGTGCATGTTTCCCTGTCTTACTTCTATCCTCCCTAGCACCAACAATGGAGCTCCCACCAGTTGTTTTTGGTAATATATCCTCACTATTGCTAGTGGAGTCCTCTTGTTTGCTATTTCCTGCGGTATTTCTAGTTTGCAATATTGGTTTTATCTTATCTTTGACTACACTTGTTTCCCTACTATGGCTCCTGTCCCCTATGAGGTCATTTATATGTATTCCTTCCTGCATATAATTCCCGACTACCTGGACAAAATCTCCAGCTTCACCATTACTGTCTCCCAGGATTTTAATAATAATAATAATAATACTTCATGTTAATAGATAGGTACATAGGTAGGTAGGTAGGTAGGTAAGTAGGTAAATAAGTAAGTAAGTAAGATTATTTAGGCACAGATACACGTAAGTACAACTATCATACATAGTGTAAATTGCCTAGATAATCCCAAAAAAATCAGACAAATTGACTTATTTCAATTGAAGTCCAAAAGGTGCCTGATGAATGTAGCCACAGAAGGGAGGAGAAAGATTTTTTATTTTTTAGTTAACACACATATAAATATAAATAATTCATTTTACCTTATTCCTAGTATATCTCCTTCATAGTATAATAATAAGATATCTCCTTTATAGCATAATAAGGTATTAAAAGGATCCCACTGGAAATAAGTCTCTCTATTTTGGATTATCCTAGGTTCTCTACATATATTCTGCTATGTATGATAATTATAATCTATGTAACTATTTGTGTATACCTGAATAAACTTACTTAAATTGTAAATTGCAGCCAGCAGCAACAGCCTGGTTGATCAGGCTCTGATCCACCAGGAGGCCTGGTCACAGACCGGGCCGCGGGGGCGTTGACCCCCGGAACTCTCTCCAGGTAAACGGTAATTTTTACCACTGATCTTTCATTGCTTGCTAATTTTAAGCCTACCCATTTAGGAATATGAATATGACTTATTTCAATAATAATAATAATAATAATAATAATAATAATAATAATAATAATAATAATAATAATAATAATAACACTCATTTTTTACAAGTACATAATACAACTTACGTAGACATAGCTAACATCAGTTATATATTAAATAAAAATCCCCTTGTTATGCGGAGCATTTCTGGCAAATTAGGTTAATTTTGTTTCCCAGGATGCGACCCACACCAGTCGACTAACACCCAGGTACCTATTTACTGACCTGGCAGCTAGGTCAGGTGGACCACCTTGCCTATGTCCCGGCAGAGAGGGACACCTACACCCCCAACTCGAGTGTAGTAACCGGCTTCACTGCTAAATCGTTAAATATCCGCAGAGCGTATCAATAGAGGTGATGACTGGTGATGCTCGTGTGATGTAGTCAGCCAGTAAGATAACACGAAGACAAGCCTCCCAAAAAACAAAAACGGAAAATATTTATCACCGATGTCCAGGGGAGATCGAGACACCCCCCACACCACCAAGGATGTCGCAGGAGTAGACGCAGTCAGTCCCTCAGGTGTTCACTGTTGACAGAAATGTCGTTCGTGTAGTTGTAATCCGGCTGGACTGACAGCATTTTTATTTTATTTTTTTCTACATAAGTTACCCAATGAATCTTAACTAGTCATAAGTTTGCCTGTGATACTCCAATTGTGGAAATTACTGTATATATTTTCCGGAAATACGGTAATTTATAGGTAAATAGATGGCCTATACTGTATTTAATAATATTTGTCATAGAAAACGGAAAGCCTGCGTCTGGGCAGGAAACTCGCCATCTTGGTTTTGAATTTTATACAAACGTTGGTGTAATGGGAAGAATTTTTCGTGCTCTAGAGGTTAAAATTGTGTTGACACCTCTCAAATAGGAGGCGAAATTGGTGGATGTACATTCCTGCATAACTTGAGATATCAGACGACTGGACAAGACAGCTCCAGGAACCTCAGATAAGCTCTCTAGGTTTGTGTGTAATTCTGGCCAGCATTATTTTCATAGATTTAGTTAGAGTGAGGTTTTCTGAGTATGATACACATTAATCTCCAGTCAAATTGGTGAGTGATATTAAGATATATTTTCTTTCTGTTATGTAATTTGTATATATCTATAATTATTCTTTAATTTTTAATATACAGTCCACAAATTTATATATTTACCAGTATTCCTGGTGTATGTATATTTCATTTAATTAATAGGTCCAGAGCAACTTGTGGATATGACAGTGGTAGGTATCGAAGGGGGACACTTTTTGCGACCTAAGATAAGAAGATTTCGTTCGGATTTTTAACCCCGGAGGGTTAGCCACCCAGGATAACCCAAGAAAGTCAGTGCGTCATCGAGGACTGTCTAATTTATTTCCATTGGGGTCCTTAAGATAAGATTTCGTTCGGATTTTTAATCCCCGGAGGGTTAGCCACCCAGGATAACCCAAGAAAGTCAGCGCGTCATCGAGGACTGTCTAACTTATTTCCATTGGGGTCCTTAATCTTGTCCCCCAGGATGCGACCCACACCAGTCGACTAACACCCAGGTACCTATTTGCTGCTAGGTGAACAGGACAACAGGTGTAAGGAAACATGTCGAAATGTTTCCACCCGCCGGGAATCGAACCCGGGCCCTCCGTGTGTGAAGCGGGAGCTTTAGCCACCAGGCCACCGGGCCACCGATGTTCCAAATTCCTACTTGTCTATGTAACATTGATAAATAATAATTATCTTTGTTATCATTTACTGTTATGTACATAATTAGTTACATTCAGATAAATGCGATTTTCCACACCAATATAGGAGCTTCAAAAGAAATTATATATTGTACAAAAAGAAAACCATGCACGTTGCTAAATTTACGAAGTGTAATGCAGTTACTTAGCCTTAATACCAATATACTCCTTCATCCTAGGTTCTCTACACATATGCTGCTATGTATGATAATTCTATGTAACTGTATTGTGTATACCTGAATAAATTTACTTACTTACTTACTTACTAATATAGAGTTTCGAATTGATTTTATTCTGCCCGAAATGCCTAGTCATGCTAGGTGTGATAGTGGCCCTCTCTGTAATATAATATGTATATAATATGTAAACCACACAATATGTTAACTCCACATTGTAATTTTTATAGAGAATAAATTTTATTTTATTTTATTTTATTTAACATGAAAAGGACCCCAATGGAAATAATTCACTTTGACTTTTTTGGGGGTTATGCTGGTAGATAATAATCTACGCATAGGCTGATATGTATGATAATTTATGTAACTGTATTTATGTGTACTTGTACCTGAATAAACTTACTAACTTTACTAATTTACTTTACTTACTTTACGTACTTAGTAAGATGGCAGGTCGAGAGTAAGTTTAGACAGGTGATCCCTGTGCGCGCCAGATCTTGTAAACACAGCGACCTGCTCAACCTACTGTCATCCTCACTTCTTCTTGTTATTTAAGAAGAAATATCGTAAGGCGGACCTACTGTTCGGGTGACCAATAAGTCAGTTGGATGTAGAAGTGTGGGGTGTGGTTGGAGGTGACAAGAAGCTGCTGCGGATGTTAGTATTTGCTTATATCTCCCGCCACCATGGGCATCCAGGGTCTCCTGCCCTTCCTGAAGAAGGCCTCGAGGGAGGCCAACCTCAGGGAGTTCAAGGGTCAGACGGCTGCCGTCGACGCCTACTGCTGGCTCCACAAGGGTGCTTTTTCCTGTGCAGAGAAACTCGTGCGTGGAGAACCTACCGATGGGTAAGATAAGATTTGTTGGGATTATTAACCCGGGGAAGGGTTAGCCACGCAGGATAGCCCAGTAAAGTCGGTGTGTCATCTGGGACTGTCTGTCTTATTTTCATTGGAGTCCTTTAACCTTGTCTCCTGAGCGGCTCTTATCCATATTGACCCCAGTTTGTAATATGGAGATAAAAACTAAGCAGCATACGCTAATTGAGGCCTTATCAAAGATATATAAAGTTAGTGTAACTTTAGGACTTATTAGTTATACGTCTTGGGTTCACTGCACCTATTGTTACATGGGTGTGAAACCTGGGCTATAAATGTTGCAGAAAGGAGGAGCCTAAAAGCAGTGACACATACATAAGAACATAAGAATGTAGGAACACTGCAGAAGGCCTACTGGCCCATACGAGGCAGGTCCTTACCAAGACGACATCTACCTAAAGCTACTCAAGAAACAACTCCCGCACCCCCCAACACCAATCAAACCCAGCCCCTCCCACTCATATATTTGTCCAGTCTCTTCTTAAAGCTACCCAAGGTCCTAGCCTCTATCACCCCACTGGGAAGACTGTTCCACGCATCTACAACTCTGTTAGAAAACCAGTACTTACCTATGTCCTTTCTAAATCTAAATTTATCCAACTTAAATCCATTATTCCTGGTTCTTACCTGGTTCGACACCCTCAGTACTTTATTAATGTCTCCCTTGTTTATGCCCGTCATCCACTTATACACTTCAATGATATCTCCCCTCATTCTACGCCTCTCCAGAGAGTGGAGATTTAAGGCTTAAGTCTATCTTCATACGGGAGGTTCCTTACACAGTAAATCATTTTAGTCATTCTTCTCTGTATGTTCTCTAATGAGTCTATGTCCATCCTGTAGTAAGGGGACCAAACTGAGCAGCATAATCTAAATGAGGCCTCACTAGTGATGTATAGAGCTGTAAAATAACTTTTGGACTTCTGTTACTTATACTTCTTGAGATAAATCCAAGTAATCTGTTGGCCTTGTTGCGCACACTGAGGCACTGCTGTCTTGGCTTTAGATTTCTGCTTACCATGACTCCCAAGTCTTTTCACATTCTGTATGACCAAGCTCTACTTCACCTAGATTATAGCTTCGAGGGTTATTTTCATTACCAAGGGCAAGTACCTTACACTTATCCACATTAAACTTCATCTGCCATTTCTCAGACCAAGACATTAGTTTGTTCAAATCGTCCTGGAGTTCATTGATATCCTCCTCAGAGTGAATTATACGCCCTATCTTGTATCATCAGCAAACTTACTCATGTCACTAGTAATCCCTTCATCAAGGTCATTAATAAAATTATGAACAAGAGAGGGCCCAAAACTGATCCTTGTGGAATGCCACTAGTGACTAATCCCCATTCAGATTTCACTCCATTAATGGTAACTCTCTGCTTTCTATTGTATAGCCATGCCTCAATCCATGCTAGAACTTTACCTCCTATACCATGAGCTGCCACTTTTCTCAAGAGTCTCTTGTGAGGTACTCTGTCGAAGGCTTTACTAAAATCCAAATAAACAATATCATATTCCTTATCACTGTCAACTGCCTCAAATGTTCTATTGAAGAACGTCAGTAAGTTTGTCAGGCAGGAACGACCTCTCGTGAATCCATGCTGAGATTCATTTATCAAGTTATGCTCTTCAAGGTGACTTCTGATAATGTCACCTATAATTGATTCTAATAACTTGCCCACTATAGATGTCAGGCTTATTGGACAGTAATTTGAAGGAGTGGACTTATCCCCTGATTTGAATATAGGAACCACATTAGCCATCTTCCACATCTCTGGCACAACACTGGTAAGGATGGACGCATTGAATACACTCGTTAATGGCTGACTAAGCTCCATCTTGCATTCCTTAAGTACCCTTGAAAACAACTCATCGGGTCCCGGGGACTTATTTTGTTTCAGTTTGTCTATCCGCTTAATAACCATGTCCCTCGTGACAGTAATATTAGTTAACTTGAATTCATCAGGAACTAAATAATTGTTAATTACTGGAATCTCATTTACATCTTCCTGTGTAAAACTGAAAAAAAATAGTCATTAAATAAGGAACACATTTCCAGTTCATTATCCGTCAGCTGTCCATTCACCAGATTTCAGAGGTCCTACTTTTTCCTTCACCTTCGTCCTATACACTTGAAAGAACCCTTTGGATTAGTCTTTGATTCATTAGCAACTCTAATTTCATAGTCACGTTAGCCTTTCTAATCGCTTTTTTTTACTTCTCTTTTAAGCTGAACATATTGGTCAGTAAGGTTAACCTCTCCTCTTCTGATGCGCCTATAAATTCCCCTTTTCTCCCCTAATAGATGCTTTAGCCTCCTGTTAACCCATTTGGGATCGTTATTATTAGACCTAATTTCTCTCTGGGTAATGTATATACTCTGGGCACTGTGTACATTATTAAGAAAGCAATCATAAAAGCAGATCCCTTCATATTCATAAGTATGATTATCGTCAATAAAATCATTAGATTAGACAGATGTTCCCTAAGTCTATTATAATCGGCAGAACGAAAATCGGGGATTTTTACTGTATTATCATTATTCTTGCATTCCCAATTAATGCTAGTTGTGGTTGCAGGAGTCGAGTCATAGATCCTGGCCCCGCCTCTTCACTGGTCACTACTAGGTCACTCTCCCCGCACCATGAGCGTTATCATACCTCTGCTTAAAGCTATGTATGGATCCCGCCTCCACTACATCGCTTCCCAAACTATTCCACTTCCTGACTACTCTGTGGCTGAAGAAACATTTCCTAACATCCCTGTGATTCATCTGTGTCTTCAACTTCCAACTGTGTCCCCTTGTTGCTGTGTTCCATCTCTGGAACATTTTCTCTCTGTCCACCTTGTCAATTCCTCTCAGTATTTTGTATGTCGTTATCATGTCCCCCCTATCTCTCCTGTCCTCTAGTGCCGTCAGGTCGATTTCCCTTAACCTCGTAGGACATACCTCTTAGCTCTGGGACTAGTCTTGTTGCAAACCTTTGCACTTTCTCTAGTTTCTTTACGTGCTTGGCTAGGTGTGGGTTCCAAACTGGTGCCGCATACTCCAATATGGGCCTAACATACACGGTGTACAGGGTCCTGAACGATTCCTTATTAAGATGTCGGAATGCGGTTCTTAGGTTTTCTAGCGCGGCGCCCATATGCTGCAGCAGTTATCTGGTTGGTGTGCCTCAGGAGATGTGCCTGGTGTTATGCTTGCCCCAAGATCCTTTTCCTTGAGTGAGGTTTGTAGTCTCGGTCCCCCTAGACTGTACTCCATCTGCAATCTTGTTTGCCCTTCCCGAATCTTCATGACTTTGCACTTGGTGGGGTTGAACTTCAGGAGCCAATTGCTGGACCAGGTCTGCAGCCTGTCTAGATCCCTGTGTAGTTCTTCCTGGTCCTCGTCCAATTGAATTCTTCTCATCAACTTCGCATCATCTGTAAACGGACACTTCGGAGTCTATTCCTTCTGTCATGTCGTAGCTCAATTGGTAGCGCACTCAGCTCACACACTGAGGTCTGGAAATTGAATCCCCGGTGCGGCTGGAAAACATCAGGATGTGTTTCCTTAAGACACCTACTGTCCATGTTCACCCATCAGAATAATGGGTATCTGTGTGTTAGTTAACTTGTGTGGGTTGCATCCTGGGACAACATTCACCTAATTTGCCTGAAATGCTCTGCATAACAAGCAGCTTCCTATAACGTAATATGCCATTGATGTCAGCTAGGCTTGTATACCTTGTACATGTACTTATAGAAATAGTTTTTTTTTTCCAACAAGTCACCCATCTCCCACCGAGGCAGGGTGACCCAAAAAGAAAGAAAATCCCCAAAAAGAAAATACTTTCATCATCATTCAACACTTTCACCTCACTCAGACATAATCACTGTTTTTGCAGAGGTGCCCAGATACAACAGTTTAGAAGCATATATAAAGATATATAACATATCTCTACAAACTGCCAATATCCCAAGCCCCTCCTTTAAAATGCAGGCATTGTACTTCCCATTTCCAGGACTCAAGTCTGGCTATGTAAAAATAACCGGTTTCCCTGAATCCCTTCACTAAATATTACCCTGCTCACACTCCAACAGCTCGTCAGGTCCCAAAAACCATTCGTCTCCATTCACTCCTATCTAACACGCTCATACGTGTTATTATTATTATTATATTATTATACTGTATTATCATTATATTATTATAGAACTAGTTGATCAAGCTGTGATCCACCACGAGGCCTGGTCATGGACTGGGCTGCAAGAGCATTAACCCCTGAAACACCCTCCAAGTATACTCCAGGTATTTGAGGATGTGTGGTGTGAACATTATGCTGAAAATTCAGACACTGGAGACTAGAAGATGGGGGGGGCCTTTGCCAGAGGGTTTTTGAGGTGGTTTGGGCAGTTAGAGAGGATGGAGCAGAACAGAATGACAAAGAGGGTATATAACTCTAGGGTGAAAGAAAGGAGAGGTTGAGGTTATCCCTCGAAGGACTGGAGGGTGTGGATATGGGAGGTTATGGGAGGCTTGAATATCCATTAAGCTCAGAATGAGTAGAATCAAGTGGACTTCATGACTTGACGTGAAGGATAACATTTATGGAGGGATTCAGGGAAACAGTTGGTCCTGGGGGTGGAAAGTACAGTGCTTACACTCTAAAGGAGGGTGATGCTGTTACAGTTTGGAGAGTAATCTGAACTGTAATGTCAACACTTCTGGCAAGACAGCAATTGTGTGAATGATGATGAATATGTTTTTCCTCTTTTATGTGGGGAGGGGAGGGTCAGCCTACATCTATGTGAGATGACTACTGTGTTAAAGTAACTACAGTAAACACATTTATAACTTAGGCAGTAAATGATTAATGCAGTTGCAGTATCTTCTAGTGTGAAGTCATGCCTCACTGTTAATGTGTAGTGTTGATGCTGGACAGTTTATATGCTATATAAAATTTAAGTACCTTCATGAAAATGTGCATATAGTAAATAAAAAGTCATAGGATGAAAGTTGGTTTGATAAGACCAGTACATGACTGTCAGGCCCTAGTATATACTGTATTATTAATATTTTTATAAATATTTCAGGACAGAATCTAAATTTAAGTAAATTTTGGGATAATTTGGATGATTCTTGCAAGTCATATTATTTTGTTTTTCTTCTTTTCTCAGACATGTGATCTATGTTTTGAAGCAGATCAATCAGTTGCTGAACAATGATATCAAACCAATCTTAGTGTTTGATGGCTGTCATCTACCTTCCAAGGCTGTCACTGAGACTAAACGCAGAGAGTAAGACTTTTTTTTTTAATTAGTATTAATAATAATAAGTACTCTTCTGCACAATTGCTCATGAAAGATTAATTAACCTCTATATCTTGAGCTTGAATGGTAAAGAATAGGGTCAGCTATTATATAATTATAGTTTTTAATGAGCAATAACTTTAGTGTTATACGTATATAATTTCCGAGTCAGCACCCTTAGATCAATCAGAATTTGGGCATTACTTGTTATAGTGTCTGGATTCCATTCAATTATTCATGTAAATAATATACTATTACATGTTTTTTTAGCACTTTTTTTGTGAATATAGCAATGCAAACTCAGATGTTCATGATACATACTGGATACTTGTTTGTGTAGTGTTCCTTTATTACTGTGTTACAGTATACATACTACAGAAAACTGCTTTTATTGTTCTCAAAAGTACTAAATCCATATGGAACATTCAATGCTTTGTACTGTTCTTTCTTTCAACGCACCAGCTGTATCCCACCGAGGCAGGGTGGCCCAAAAAGAAAAACGAAAGTTTCTCCTTTTGCATTTAGTAATGTATACAGGAGAAGGGGCTACTAGCCCCTTGCTCCTGGCATTTTAGTCGACTCTTACAAAACGCATGGCTTACAGAGGAAGAATTCTGTTCCACTTCCCAATGGAGATAAGTGGAAATAAACAAGAAAAAGAACTAGTAAGAAAAATAGAAGAAAACTCAGAAAGGTCTGTATATATATGCTTGTACATGCATGTGTAGTGTGACCTTATTGTAAGCAGAAGTAGCAAAACCTACCTGAAATCTTGCATGTTTGAAACAGAAAAAAGACACCAGCAATCCTACCATCATGTAAAACAATTACAGGCTTTCATTTTACACTCAATTGGCAGGACAGTAGTTCCTTCCTGGGGGGTTGCTGTCTACCAACCTGCTACCTAGGTTTCTACTGTTCTGTTGTATTAAATTTCATAAAATGAGATTTTTTAATTTCTTTCTTTCTTTCAACACACCAGCCGTATCCCACCGAGGTGGGGTGGCCCAAAAGGAAAAACAAAAGTTTCTCCTTTCATATTTAGTAATATATACAGGAGAAGGGGTTACTAGCCCCTTGCTCCTGGCATTTTAGTCGCCTCTTACAACACGCATAGCTTACGGAGGAAGAATTCTGTTCCACTTCCCCATGGAGATAAGAGGAAATAAACAAGAACAAGAGCTAGTAAGAAAATAGAAGAAAACCCAGAGGGGTGTGTATACATATGCTTGTACATGTATGTGTAGTGTGACCTAAGTGTAAGCAGAAGTAGCAAGACGTACCTGAAACCTTGCATGTTTATGAGACAGAAAAAACACCAGCAATCCTACCATCGTGTAAAACAATTACAGGCTTACGTTTTACACTCAATTGGCAGGACAGTAGTTCCTTCCTGGGGGGTTGCTGTCTACCAACCTGCTACCTAGGTTTCTACTGTTCTGTTGTATTAAATTTCATAAAATGAGATTTTTTAATTTATTGAGATAAATAATAAATCCCTAGGTAGTAGATTGGTAGACAGCAACCGCCCAGGGAGGTACTACCGTCCTGTCAAGTGAGTGTAAAATGAAAGCCTGTAATTGTTTTACATGATGGTAGGATTGCTGGTGTCCTTTTTTTCTGTCTCATGAACATGCAAGATTTCAGGTACGTCTTGCTACTTCTACTTACACTTAGGTCACACTACACATACATGTACAAGCGTATATATACATACCCCTCTGGGTTTTCTTCTATTTTCTTTCTAGTTCTTGTTCTTGTTTATTTCCTCTTATCTCCATGGGGAAGTGAAACAGAATTCTTCCTCCGTAAGCCATGCGTGTTGTAAGAGGCGACTAAAATGCCGGGAGCAAGAGGCTAGTAACCCCTTCTCCTGTATATATTACTAAATTTAAAAGGAGAAACTTTCGTTTTTCCTTTTGGGCCACCCCGCCTCGGTGGGATACGGCCGGTTTGTTGAAAGAAAGAAAGAAATAATAAATCCAAATACGTGTACGTATTATTATTCAGGAAATTTAATAAAATGAAGATAAGATGTTTTGTACTGTACAGTGTACATAGTTTTAGCCTTGGACATCCAGCTAAGAAGGTGCCTCAATGCTGACAAGGGGCTCGTTATTCAGGAAACCAGATGTTTCCTGTCACTGGATCAAACCTTATCAAACCTTATCGGAGGATCTCACCTTCAAGGACCATAACATTGTATCAATCGCATCTGCTAGAAAAATGACAGGATGGATAATGAGAACCTTCAAAACTAGGGAGGCCAAGCCCATGATGACACTCTTCAGGTCACTTGTTCTATCTAGGCTGGAATATTGCTGCACACTAACAGCACCTTTCAAGGCAGGTGAAATTGCCGACCTAGAAAATGTACAGAGAACTTTCACGGCGCGCATAACGGAGATAAAACACCTCAATTATTGGGAGCGCTTGAGGTTCCTAAACCTGTATTCCCTGGAACGCAGGAGGGAGAGATACATGATTATATACACCTGGAAAATCCTAGAGGGACTAGTACGAACTTGCACACGAAAATCACCCACTACGAAAGCAAAAGACTTGGCAGACGATGCACCATCCCCCCAATGAAAAGCAGGGGTGTCACTAGCACGTTAAGAGACCATACAATAAGTGTCAGGGGCCCGAGACTGTTCAACTGCCTCCCAGCACACATAAGGGGGATTACCAACAGACCCCTGGCAGTCTTCAAGCTGGCACTGGACAAGCACCTAAAGTCAGTTCCGGATCAGCCGGGCTGTGGCTCGTATGTTGGTTTGCGTGCAGCCAGCAGCAACAGCCTGGTTGATCAGGCTCTGATCCACCAGGAGGCCTGGTCTCAGACCGGGCCGCGGGGGCGTTGACCCCCGGAACTCTCTCCAGGTAACTCCAGGTATTGTCTCCTATTCCCCAGGTGCTTCATGACCCATTCTGGTTTAATGCTTCCCTGATTAAAGCAAATAAAAATAGCCTTGAGCATTAAAGTTTAAATTTCATTTTTTACATTAAATACTTACCAATACCAACATTCGTGATTTTGACAAAATACCGCATTGAAAATTAACCCTTAAAATGTCCAAATGTAGATCTATGTCCACGTGCGGGGGGGCTTCGAACGTAGATCTACGCTTTTTTTTTTTTTTACATGCTTTCAAATGGGGAAAATCAAGGTCGGAGTGATACACACGTGAACATAGATCTACATTTTGACAGTTTAAGGGCTAATAGATGATGAACACCTGAGCACTTCCATGCATTTGCACACTTTCTTGGACAAACTAGCAAGTTCCTCTTCTTCTTCTGCTGGGTTTCAGGGCCACTGACAGCATACGCCGTATCGAGCCCGGCCGTCCAGTGCTAGGAGAGGGGACCTAGACCAAAGTGGAAGAATGTGTTGACTAGTAACTGCATATTATATGTCCCTGATACGCCCTGAAGCCAGCAGGAAGGAGCAGGTACAGGCCAATATCTCCTGACGGTCCAGAGGGCGAAACCCCTCCCCGTTGAGAAGGAGAGGTAGAGTGAAAGTGTGCACCCCAAGCGCACGCAAGGTTGCAGGGAGAGTAGTCCGTGCAGAGTGGTAACGTGGGCACCACATTGTGAAGTATTCCACCGTCTCAGGCTGTGAGGGACACCATGGGCAGTACGGAGAGTCTGTCATCCAAAGGTGGTACAGATGAGCCGCCAGTCGTGAGTGCCCGACTCGAAGGCGAGTCAGTGCAACATCCACCGAGTGGTTGGAATGGTGAGCCCAAGGGCAGGGGGCCATTAAAAGATCGGACAGAGCCCAATGCTGAAGAAGAAAGGGAATGTGCCAGGCCCTCCTGCCACTGATGGCAGATTCCCTTCCAAAGAGCCCTTGTGAAATCACTGTGGCCCAGGGCAAGAGGGATAATAGTAGGAAGCGTGTGTGCGAGGGAGGCCGCTCGATCCGCCACTTCATTGCCCTGGATTCCAACATGGGCAGGTACTCACTGGGATTCGCAAGAAGCGCAGGAGAGATTGCGTCCGACGAACGAGGATGCATAGTGACCATGGACGGGCAGAGCACAAAAGCGCCAGGGAGGATTGGGAATCAGAGAAGAGAACCAATGGCTGTGGGGGAATGTGATCTAGGACAAAAGCCAGAGCCTGGTGAATGGTGTGTGCAAATGCACATAAGCACTGAGATATTTATTTTCTGTTCATTTTTCAATGTAATATTTTTTAATGTTTATAGTCTTGCATTTTATAGTGATTTTTTTCATTCAAGAGTATGTAATAGTTGCAAATAGTGTAGTGCTGCAGTTATAATAGTGTCTCTTACTTTTTGCAGTAGACAGTTTCAGACTCATGGAAACTGTATAGTGCTGAACTGAACTCACGCACTGTTACATTTCCATCATAGAAATGCTGTTAAAATTTGGATGTGCTTCTACTGTGTGATAGATTGGTTGGCTCTAAGATCTTTTTACCTTTATAAATTTTGCCATACTTTTTTTTTTATGAATTGTTGACAGTGGGTCCAAAGAGTTATTATTCCAACTTAGAGGGATTGGGAATCACTTACACTTAAGTCCGGAACTACATAGTTTCACATCTTGTCTCATCTCCTATTGGAAGGGTTTTGGGGCAATCTGATTGGTTATTTGAGGATGACAAATGAGTTCCGCTATTGGTTAGGGGCGGTTTTAACAATTTCACGTATCTGGTTTGGGCTCTGGAACCTTTAATTATGTGGTCCTCTAACAGGACCCTGGAATACTAATGGGTCAATCCCTCATAATTATAATCATCAATACATTTTATGAATCGCATTGTTTTCATACTGTAAATGTATATTGTACATATAAAATTACTAGAAGTGGGACATAGCATGTTAGCAAATTCACATAACTGAACTCTCATAATATAAGGGGTAAGTCACCCTGTACTGTAGAAGAATTACAACTTGTAAAGCTTCAGCAAAGATTTGACGAATGCACTAATGGATAAAATGCTATTATAGAAACCGTGAGCGAAATCGCAAGAAGGCAAAACAGTTGTTGAGAGAAGGAAAGATTCGAGAAGCTAAAGAATGCTTCCAGCGCTGTGTTGAAGTGACCTCGGAGATGGCATCAGATGTCATAAAGGCGTGCCGTGCAAGGAATGTTGACATAATAGGTAAGCCAGTAAATAATTTGCATTCCTTATCAAATAACAGAGGCCCAGCTTCTAATTCATTATGCTGAACAATTCTTTTAACCTGTATTGTCCTTGTCCTTGTCCTTGTCTATCATTCCTTCAGTTCATGTACGTACCTAGCATCATCCTTAATATATCACTAATTAAATTATTTTATTGAATTACTAAATACCTCCACTATTTTAAAAACTGTATTCTTATTCTTATATACATGTACTTGTAATCATAATTTAGTTTTAAAGTTGTCTGAAATGCTTTATGTATTAAAGGACTTTCTATGAAGTAGATACTGTGTATGTTAGTCACCTTAATTGTATAATATACTGTACTCTACTTTATAGAAATAAAGTTTGTTTATTTGTCTTTTTAATGCCTATACTTACTAAGATTTTGTTGAATATGCATTGCAGTTACTGGAAGGTTTTTCTTTTAATAACATTACATTTTGCGTGCTGCAGGATTCAGTGTGAGGCATCACAAAACAATGATGCCGTCAGCATCTCCACCTTGGTAACAGCAACCTTAAAACACACTTTATTATTTTTGCATAAATAATTTTTAAGATTGCTTTTACCAAAGATCAGATTTTGACCTCTGCATTTGTCTTGCGATGTGAAGTCTAGGGAAACTTCTGTCATTGAATTAAATACTTATGATTAACCTTGTAATGATAATAATAATAATAATAATAATTTCAACAGAGATGTATTATTATTATTATTTATGCTATTAGGTTCATGAAGAAATATAATTGTGCAATTAACTGTACTTCATAGGGAAGTGGAAAAGAATTCTTCCTCCGTAAGCCATGTGTGTTATAAGAGGGGACTAGTAACCCCTTCTCTTGTATACATTGCTAAATTTAAAAGGAGAAACTTTGGTTTTTCTTTTAAGGTCACCCTGCCTTGGTGGGATACAGCCAGTTTATTGAAAGAAGAAAGAGTAACCTTGTCTCCAGGAGCTTCCTTCTCTGCATACGTTTCCACTATTCTAGTATTAAATTATATATGTTGCTTGAATCCAATATAATATCGCACAGATTGCTGTCAAGGCAGAATCAATTTTGATAATGCACAAGATGAAATTTATTTTTTATTTTATTTTTATTTATTTTAATTTGAGCACACATACAGAGGTACAAAAAAGTGTGCTGTACAGTGGACCCCCGGTATTCAATGGCATCGGTATCCGATCGAAAACCCGGTATTCGATGCGATTCGTATGAGACGTGTCCACGTGTGGCCTGAACTGCCCCGTGTGTGCCAGTGTTTACAAGCCAGCCAGTGTGCGCGCATCTAAGGATACATTCGGTACATTCCACATTATCACTGTTTTTGGTGCTTGTTTCTGCAAAATAAGTCACCATGGGCCCCAAGAAAGCTTCTAGTGCCAACCCTTCGAGAAAAAAGGTACTAATGACTATTGAAGAAAGAGATAATTGCAAAGTACGAAAGTGGAGTGCGTGTGTCGGAGCTGGTCAGGTTGTATAGTAAACCCCAATCAACCATCTCTACTATAGTGACCAGGAAAAGGCAATCAAGGAAGCTGTTCTTGCAAAAGGTGCAACTGTGATTACGAAACAGCGACCACAAGTGTTAGAAAATGTTGAGAGACTGTTATTGGTGTGGATAAATGAGAAACAGATAGCAGGAGATAGCATCTCTCAAGCGATCATTTGTGAAAAGGCTAGGCAGTTGCATGATGATTTGGTAAAGAAATTGCCTGCAACTACTGCTGATGTGAGTGAATTTAAGGCCAGCAGAGGTTGGTTTGAAAGATTTAAGAGTCGTAGTGGCATACATAGTGTGATTAGGCATGGTGAGGCTGCCAGTTCAGACCAAAAAGCAGCTGAAAAATATGAGGGAATTCAAGGATTACACAGACAGTGAAGAATTTAAACCTGAACAAGTGTTTAATTGCAACGAAACAGGCCTGTTTTGGAAGAAAATGCCAAGCAGGACCTACATTACTCAGGAGGAAAAGGCACTCCCAGGACATAAGCCTATGAAAGACAGGCTTATTCTGTTGATGTGTGCCAATGCTAGTGGTGATTGCAAAGTGAAGCCTTTATTGGTGTATCACTCTGAAACTCCCAGAGTGTTCAGGAAAAACAATGTCCTCAAGGCTAATTTGTGTGTGCTGTGGAGGGCAAACAGTAAGGCATGGGTCACTAGGGACTTTTTCTATGACTGGTTACACCATGCATTTACCTCCACTGAAAAATTACCTAATTGAAAAGAAATTAGACCTTAAGTGCCTCCTGGTATTAGACAATGCCCCTGGTCATCCTACAGACTTAGCAGAGCGACTTTCTGGGGACATGAGCTTCATTAAGGTCAAGTTTTTGCCTCCTAATACCACTCCTCTCCTGCAGCCCATGGACCAGCAGGTCATTTCCAACTTCAAGAAACTGTACACAAAAGCTATGTTTCAAAAGTACTTTATAGTGACCACAGAAACTCAACTGACTCTAAAATTTAGAGTTTTGGAAGGATCACTAATATCCTCAATTGTATAAACTTTATAGGTAAGGCTTGGGAGGGAGTGACTAAGAGGACCTTGAACTCTGCTTGGAAAAAACTGTGGCCACAATTTGTAGACAAAAGGGATTTTGAAGGATTTGAGGCTAACCCTGAGAAGCCTATGCCAGTTGAGGAATCCATTGTGGCACTGGGGAAGTCCTTGGGGTTGGAGGTTAGTGGGGAGGATGTGGAAGAGTTGGTGGAGGAGGGCAATGAAGAACTAACCACTGATGAGCTGCTAGATCATCTTCAACAGCAAGAGGCCACACCTGAGGAAACTGCTTCGGAGGAGGGGATAGAGAAATTGAAGAAGTTGCCTACTTCAAAGATTAAGGAAATGTGTGCAATGTGGCTTAAAGTCCAAACCTTTTTTGATGACAATCACCCTAACACAGCTATTGCAAGCCATGCTGGTGACTATTACACTGACAGTGTTGTGAAACACTTTAGGAATGTCATAAAGGAACGGGAGGTATAGGCCACTATGGACAGATATGTTGTGCGACAGAAGTCCAGTGACTCTCAAGCTGGTCCTAGTGGCATTAAAAGAAGAAGGAAAGTAACCCCGGAAAAGGACTTGCTACCTCAAGTACTAATGGAAGGGGATTCCCCTTCTGAACACTAACACCTCTCCCCTCCTCCCATCCCATCAATCATCACCAGATCTTCATTAACCCTTTCAGGGTCCAAGGCCCAAATCTGGAGTCACGCACCAGTGTCCAAGAATTTTCAAAAAAAAAAAAATTTGTTATTTTTTCTTATGAAATCGTAGAGAATCTTTTTGTGAAGGTAATAAAACAAAAAGTTCGAAATTTGGTGGAAAATTGACGAAATTATGCTCTTGCGAATTTTGATGTGTCAGCGATATTTACGAATCGGCGATTTTGCCGACTTTGACTCCCATTTTAGGCCAATTACATTATTCCAATCAACCAAATTCTTAGCTATTTCACTAGTATTACTTCTATTCTATCGACTGAGCACAAGAAATCGTCAAGTCAACTGTTTCAACTACAAAATAAAGTGATCGGAAATTGTTAATTTGGCCAATTTAACACAAAGTTCAAAATATTCCAATTTCAAAATAGGGTCCAGAATGAACAATGTAGGCATTCCTGGCACTAAACTAACATTTCCTCTGTTCATTAGTTATGTTTTGAGGCTTTACAAATAAATTCCATTTTGATTTTTTATTCACATAATGAAGTTTTATTCACACCAAAAAATAGAAGATTTACTGTTATGCAATACTGTAATAATTGTATAAATATCATCACCATATTTGTGAATGTATATTAGACCCACCAGCTGTCGTGTATTAGACATGTGAGGTCGTTTGTTTACTCTTGAATATCGGCAAAAATTTAACATTTCTGCTACTTTGAGCTCAGTTTCAAACCATTTCCAGTGCTAAAACTAATCAAAATCATCTCTATTTCTGTAATATGTCTTCCATTCTATCAAATGAGACCAAGAAATCGCAAATACAACTATAAAAAACATACGAAAAAACACTGCAAAGTTGCTGTTTTAATCGAAAAATCATGATTTCATTTTTTTCCTCTCATTATACACAGTGTGCTACAGGATCTGTTTTATGTGGTGCACACATACCACATAGATGTATTCTCTCATATCTAGGCCCAAATGTACCACTCACAGTTTATCAGAGTGAGCTGAGCTCATGGCGTAGATCTACGGTTTGGACCCTGAACGTAAAGCCGTAGATCTACGGGACGGACCCTGAAAGGGTTAAAGGTAAGTGTCAATTATTCTATTGTTATTGTTGTTATTGTAATTATTCTATTGCATTAAACTTAATATTTCATGTGGTAAAAAATTTTTTTTCATACTTTTGGGTGTCTTGCACAGATTAATTTGATTTCCATTATTTCTTATGAGGAAAATTGACTCGCTTTTCGATATTTTTGGCTTTCGATGAGCTCTCAGGAATGGATTGATATCGAATACCGGGGGTCCACTGTATATAATTGCAGCTCGAAGGGTCATTTCAATTAGGTTGTTGGCACATTTCTGGCAAGACAGCTCTTGAATGAATGAATGTGTTTCCTTTTTGGGTCACCCTACTTTGGTGGGAAATGGTTGATGATGATACTGTCAGCTTGAATGGAGATAAATTTTGTATAAATAAACGTTAAATTTTTTTTTCTTGGCATACTGGCTGTATCCCACCAAGGCAGGGTGACCTTAAAAGAAAAACAAAAATTTTTCAAGTGTTTAGCCCATTCTGGCACCTCGTATACTTCTTGCAGTCACTCAAGCATTTCTGTAATAGATTATTATTACTCTTTTGTTTTATTTGCCTGTGTTACTTTTGAAGCTAGGAAAATGGTTTATATTTAATTAATCTAGGAGTGGAAGCTGGTTTTGGTTGGTATTTTCACTCCTCTATATACTTACACAATGGTACCCCGAGTTTCGGCCATAATTCGTTCCAGAAGGGTGTTAGAGCGCCCTTACCGAATTTGTGCCCATAAGGAATAATGTAAATTAGATTAGTCCATTTCAGACCCCCCCAAAAATACTCTTAAAAAATCACTTAAAATAATACACTTGCATAATTGTTCGAGTTGGGAGCTGTATAAAACTTGGGGTACCACTGTATTTTATTGTTGTTGATGTACAGACAAGAACTGTGCATGTTTATATTTCAGTTGCACCATATGAAGCAGACGCTCAGCTGGCATTCCTCAACCTGTGTGGCATTGCCCAGGTGGTGATCACTGAGGACTCTGATCTTGTGCTTTTTGGATGCAAGGCAGTAAGTACATTTCCAGTTGATTGTCACTTTACTAACATGGTGTTAGCATCTTTTGAATGATCTGTGTAATACAGTAAAACCTTAGTACTTGAACAGCTCTGTACTCGAACAATTCGGTATTCGAACACTTTGTTTGGTAAACAAATCGCTTGGTAGTCGACTGTTTGCTCAGCACTCATCTAAACAAACACGACCTGCTAGAACTTCACTGTAAACTATTTCATGTTTCTTCACATTTTTTGGAGTTTTTTATATTTGTATAAGTCACCATGAGGGTTTAAGAGGGTTAGTGATAACAACCAACCAAAAAAGAAAATTGGTTGGGAAAAATTTGTTCTGTACTCGAACAGATTGGCACTCGAACAGCCTTCTGGAGGCAATTAAGTTTGGGTGCCGAGGCTCAAGTGTACTTTGCAGCAATGATAACTGGCAGAAGAAAACAGATTGTTTAGTTTTAAAATTGATCAACTAGATAAGCACTTGACAACTGTAATTTCCCTATTTTTCTATTATTTAATGTAATGTCACTTACAAAGTACATTGCTATAATTGTATATTTTACTTAAATTTAATATCTATATTTTTACTTCTTTTCAACACAGTAGCTATCTACCAATGTAAAGTGGACACAAAGAAGGAAAAGATACTCAGCTTTTCTCATTCAGATGAGTGGTATTGAATGACCCTCTGACTGCAACATCCCCGCTTCCCCTTCAGGGTGCAAGCAATGACCCTCCGAGTGCAATATTCTCATCCCCCTTCAGGTTGCAAGCACTGTGTACTTCCCACCTTCACGACTCTTAAGTCTAGCTAGCTGGTTTCCCTGACTCCCTGCATGAATGTTACCTTGCTCGTGCTTTGTTTTCCTCTTTTGCCGATACTGACTCTATATAAAAGGGATTTCCAATCATGTTAGGATTACAAGCAGTTGCAGATTTATTTGTAATTTCTAATGAATTTTTGCCCAAATTCGCTGTCTACCTAGGCCATTTTAAATGCTCTATGTAGTACTTTCAGTATTTGAAAGTATTTGTACATGTATTTCCAGTATCTCTGTATTTTTACCATTTACATATCCAGTGTCTGTTCAAATGGACTCAATGGTGGTTGGTATTTTTTGAAAAAAAAGCTCATCTTGCTATGAATGTTCACGAGACAAGTTGTTCTTTGACAAGTTTCGCACATGTGCATCTGTCGGGCTGGATATCTGCACATCCTGCTGAATTGGTCTAACCTCAAATTTTTTCAATGTTACTTCAATCGATATTAACAATGGTTATAAAAACTAGTGGTTTTTCACAAGTTTTTGGTCCTTTTTGGGTTACTGTTTAACTTAATAATAATAATAATAATATAATAATAGTCATAATAATAATAAAAATAATAAAAAATAATAAAAATAATTTTTTTTTTAACAAGTCGGCCATCTCCCACCGAGGCAGGGTGACCCAAAAAGAAAGAAAATCTCCAAAGAGAAAATACTTTCATCATCATTCAACACTTTCACCTCACTCACACATAATCACTGTTTTTGCAAAGGTGCTCAGAATACAACAGTTTAGAAGCATATACATATAAAGATACACAACATATTCCTCCAAACTGCCAATATCCGAAATCCCTCCTTTAAAGTGCAGGCATTGTACTTCCCATTTCCAGGACTTTAGTCCAGCTGTATAAAAATAACTGGTTTCCCTGAATCCCTTCACTAAATATAACCCTGCTCACACTCCAACAGCACATCAGGTCCCAAATACCATTCGTCTCAGTTCACTCCTATCTAACACGCTCATGCACGCTTGCTGGAAGTCCAAGCCCCTCGCCCACAAAACCTCCTTTACCACCTCCTCCCAACTTTTTCGAAGACGACCCCTACCCTGCCTTCCTTTCCCTACAGATTTATACGCTCTCCATGTCATTCTACTTTGATCCATTCTCTCTGAATGACCAAACCACCTCAACAACTCTTCAGCCCTTTGACTAATACTTTTATTAACTCCACATCTTCTCCTAATTTCCACACTCTGAATTCTCTGCATAATATTTACACCACACATTGCCCTTAGACAGGACATCTCCACTGCCTCCAACTGTCTCCTCGCTGCAGCATTTACAATCCAAGCTTCACACCCATATAAGAGTGTTGGTACCACTATACTTTCATACATTCTCTTCTTTGCCTCCATAGATAATGTTTTTTGTCTCCACAATGCACCACTCACCCTTTTTCCTTCATCAGTTCTATGATTAACCTCATCTTCCATAAATCCATCTGCTGACATGTCAACTCCCAAATATCTGAAAACATTCACTTCTTCCATATTCCTCCTCTCCAATTTGATATCCAGTTTTTCTTTATCTAAATCATTTGATGCCTTCAGCACCTTACTCTCTTCTGTGTTCACTTTCAACTTTCTGCCTTTATGCACTCTCACAAACTCAGCCACTAACCTTTGCAATTTTTCTTTAGAATCTCCAATAAGCACAGTATCATCAGCAAAAAGTAACTGTGTCAATTCCCATTTTGTATTTGACTCCCCATAATTTAATCCCACTCCTCTCCTGAACACCCTATCATTTACTTCTTTTACAACCCCATCTATAAATATATTAAACAACCATGGTGACATTACACATCCCTGTTTAAGACCTACTTTTACCGGGAAGTAGTCTCTCTCTCTCTTGTACACACCCTAACCTGAGCCTCATTATCCTCATAAAACCTCTTTACAGCATTTAGTAACTTACCACCTATTCCTTATTCTTGCAACATCTGCCACATTGCTCCCCTATCCACTCATATGCCTTTTCTAAATCCATAAATACAATGAAAACTTCCCTACCTTTATCTAAATACTGTTCACATATATGCTTCAATGAAAACACTTGATGACTCACGAAATCGTAATGACACGATTGCAAACAAACCATACCCCGGCCGGGATTGAACCCGCGGTCAGAGAGTCTCAAAACTCCAGCCCGTCACGTTAGCCACTAGACCAGTTAGCCACAATAAGATTCGTCCAACTAGGTATATTTCTACACTATAGGAAGGTTAGCACAGGCACCACTGTGACCACAAATGCAAGTTTTTACAGACGAATCTCCAGCTAGCATGGCCGTGACGAACTCTAGCTCAAGTCCCTTCACTGCCGGGATTGACCGCGGGTTCAATCCCGGCCGGGGTATGGTTTGTTTGCAATCGTGTCATTACGATTTCGTGAGTCATGTTGACGGCAGTGAAGGGACTTGAGCTAGAGTTCGTCACGGCCACGCTAGCTGGAGATTCGTCTGTAAAAACTTGCATTTGTGGTCACAGTGGTGCCTGTGCTAACCTTCCTATAGTGTAGAAATATACCTAGTTGGACGAATCTTATTGTGGCTAGCTGGTCTAGTGGCTAACGCGACGGGCTGGAGTTTTGAGACTCTCTGACCGCGGGTTCAATCCCGGCCGGGGTATGGTTTAAAACACTTGATCTGCACATCCCCTACCCACTCTAAAACCTCCTTGCTCATCTGCAATCCTACATTGTCTTACCTCTAATTCTTTCAATAATAACCCTACCATACACTTTTCCTGGTATACTCAGTAAACTAATTCCACTATAATTTTTAAAATCTGTTTTGTCCCCCTTCCTTTTATATAAAGGAACTATACATGCTTTCTGCCAGTCCCTAGGTACCTTCCCCTCTTTCATACATTTATTAAACAAAAATACCAAACACTCTAACACTATATATCCCCTTGCTTTTAACATTTCTGTCATGATCTCATCAGTTTCAGCTGCTTTTCCCTCTTTCATTCTATGCAATGCCTCATGCACCTCCCCCTCACTCACATCCTGCTCTTCTTCACTCCTAAAAGATGGTTTAACTCCTTGGCCAGTGCATGAAATTACCGCCTCGCTTTCTTCATCGACATTTAAAAGTTCCTCAAAATATTCCTGCCATCTACCCAATACCCCCATCTCCCCATCTACTAACTCCCCGACTCTGTTTTTAACTGACAAATCCATTCATTCCCTAGGCCTTCTTAACTTGTTTAACTCCAATTTTTTTTTTTTTCAACAAACCGGCTGTATCCTACCAAGGCAGGGTGTCCCAAAAAGAAAAATGAAAATATCTCTTTTTAAATTTAGTAATTTATACGGGAGAAGGGGTTACTAGCCCCTTGCTCCTGGCATTTTAGTCACCTCTTACAACACGAATTCTGTTCCACTTCTCCATAGAGATAAGAGGAAATAAACAAGAACAAGAACTAGAAAGAAAATAGAAGAAAACCCTTAGGGGTGTGTATATATATGCTTGTACATGTATGTGTAGTGTGACCTAAGTGTAAGTAGAAGTAGCAAGACGTACCTGAAATCTTGCATGTTTATGAGACAGAAAAATGGACACCAGCAATCCTACCATCATGTAAAACAATTTCAGGCTTTCGTTTTACACTCACTTGGCAGGACGGTAGTACCTCCCCGGGCGGTTGCTGTCTACCAACCTACTACCTAGAAAATTTTTTTTCTTATTTTCATTAAAATTTCTTGACATTGCCTCTCACACACTATCATCTGCTCTACTTTTGCACTCTTTCCCCACTCTCTTCATCTTTCTTTTACTCTCCATATACTCTGCTCTTCTTATAGCACTTCTTTGTAAAAACCTCTCATAAGCTACCTTTTTCTCTTTTATTACACTCTGTACGTACTTCATCATTCCACCAGTCACTCCTCTTTCCTCCTGCACCCACCCTCCTATAACCACAAACTTCTGCCCCACATTCTAATACTGCATTTTTAAAACTATTCCAACCCTCTTCAACCCCCCACTACTCATACTTGCACCAGCCCACCTTTCTGCCAATAGTTGCTTATATCTCACCCGAACTTCCTTTTCCCTTAGTTTATACACTTTCACCTCTCTCTTATTTGTTGTTGCCATTTTCCTCTTGTCCCATCTACCTCTTACTCTAACTGTAGCTACAACTAAATAATGATCCGATATATCAGCTGCCCCTCTATAAATGTGTACGTCCTGAAGCCTACTGATCAACCTTTTATCCACCAATACATAATCTAGCAAACTACTTTCATTACATGCTATATCATACCCTGCATATTTATTTATCCTCTTTTTCATAAAATATATATTACTTATTACCAAACCTCTTTCTACACATAGCTTAGTTAAAGGCTCCCCATTTTCATTTACCCCTGACACCCCAAATTTACCTACTACTCCCTCCACAACATTTTTACCCACTTTAGGATTGAAATCCCCAAAAATAATAATTTTTTTTTATTTTTCAACAAGTCGGCCGTCTCCTACCAAGGCAGGGTGACCCAAAAAAGAAAGAAAATCCCCAAAAAGAAAATACTGTCATCATCATTCAACACTTTCACCTCACTCACACATAATCACTGTTTTTGCAGAGGTGCTCAGAATACAACAGTTTAGAAGCATATACGTATAAAGATACACAACATATCCCTCCAAACTGCCAATATCCCTAACCCCTCCTTTAAAGTGCAGGCAATATTGTATTTCCCATTTCCAGGACTCAAGTCCGGCTATATAAAAACCGGTTTCCCTGAATCCCTTCACTAAATATTACCCTGCTCATACTCCAACACCATTCGTCTCCATTCACTCCTATCTAACACGCTCATGCATGCTTGCTGGAAGTCCAAGCCCCTCACCCACATAACCTCCTTTACCCCCTCCCTCCAACCTTTTTTGAGGACGACCCTCCCTGCCTTCCTTCCCCTACAGATTTATATGCTCTCCATGTCATTCTCTTTTGATCCATTCTCCTTAAATGACCAGACCATCTCAACAACCCCTCTTCAGCCGTCTGACTAATACTTTTATTAACTCCACACCTTTTCCTAATTTCCACACTCCAAATTTACTGCATAATATTCACACCACACATTGTCCTTAGACAGGACATCTCCACTGCCTCCAACTGCCTCCTCGCTGCGACATTTACAACCCAAGCTTCACAACCATATAAGAGTGTTGGTACTACTATACTTTTATACATTCCCTTCTTTGCCTCCATAGATAACGTTTTTTGTCTCCACAAGTACCTCAACGCACCACTCACCTTTTTTCCTTCATCAATTCTATGATTAACCTCATCCTTCATAAATCCATCCGCTGACATGTCGATTCCCAAATATCTGAAAACATTCACTTCTTCCATACTACTCCTCCCCAATTTGATATCCAACTTTTCTTTATCTAAATCATTTGATACCCTCATCACCTTACTCTTTTCTATGTTCACTTTCAACTTTCTACCTTTACACACACTCCCGAACTCATCCACTAACCTTTGCAATAATAATAATACGTAATAATAATAGCTTTATAAGGCAAGTTACTTCAAAATGTGAATGATGTACTAATAGAAAATGTATGATTTTTCAGGCTTTGTGTAAACTACCATCTTACTTGAAGATGCCTCACCTGGAGGTGAGTCAGGAGTACCGTGATAATTTCATCAAAGCTCGCAATACATTCCTGCACCAGCTGGTATTCGACCCCATCCAGCGCATTCTTCGCCCTCTTAATGACTACCCTGAGGGCATGGATGCTGTAGATTATCCTTATGCAGGGAAATTTGTTGGGCATGAGAGAGCTTTACAAATAGCACTGGGCAATGTTAATGTTCAGACTGGAGAAGTGGCTGATAACTTCTCTCCAGAGACTTACAAGGTATGTATATATTTCAAGCTGTTTTTTGCATCCAGGATTAATATTTTGTAATACTGTAGTATTTAAGACTTAGGTATATTCTTTATAGAAAGTTTTTTAAGTACAGTACTATAAGATCTCTTTTTTCTCTTTTCCAACAAAGTAGGGAGACCCAATGGACATTTACTTTATTTAACTTTCAGTTTCATAATGTGTCGATAGAAAGGAGCTCTTAAGGTTAACTTGTAAATGGTAAAAGTGGGCATGTATGGGAATTCAGCTTAATTTTATACTGTAGGTGTACTGGATATTTAGCACCCATAATGAGAGAAAAGTAATATCATCTGTAGGATATGACAAACCACAGTATAGCTATGCAAGGTGGGACAATTGTCAAGTATTTGTACTGGTATCTAGAGGAAAGCAGAAATTATTGCAGATAAAGATAAGTAGTAAAACATAAGAACGAGCCATTTTAGACATGGAAAGATCTTTAGCAGCTGTAGTGGAATGAATTCTGCATGGGATTCATTACTTGTAAGAGAATAATAGGGGTGTTCCAGAGTATTAGTGCTGGCGTTGGTGGCATCAGCTAATTTTGATGGTACTGGTCTAAAGCTGAGTAGTGGTATCAGGTATTGTAATTTTGATGATATTGGTGGATATCAGGTAATTCTGATAGTATCTTCATCAGTGTCATCCTAAAATTGAGTATCAGTATTGGCAAGATTTTTGGTATCATCCCATGTCCAGAAAATAGTGATTAACTGTCTTTTTATTTATGTTTCAACCACATCTTGCCCAAACTTTCAAGACTAGACTGTACTTGAGCTATACTGCAGCATTAGAATTGTAATAATAACCAAAGAAGGTTATACACTCTCAAAGAAATGTTTGATTTCCAGCCCCCAGAGCCAAAATCATCCAGCTGGAACAAACGGGGAGACCTCTGCTCCAATCATCCCAGCATCTGGACCAAGAATTTCACAAAGATGGGGCCAGTTGTTCCCAGTATAATTAACTCCAATGTACACACAATGAAGGGCAAAGAAGTTACGGTAGTGAATCCTATGTTCAAGAGAAGAAAACTTGGTAGTTATATTTCTATGAATGTTTTGAATGATTTAGCCTTGGTTTTAAATGCATACATGGAGATTACTACATTACTATTATATTCATGAATGGTGATAAACCGTTTGGTGGTCATTCAGCACTGAATGTTTTGTGTGCTGAATGACCACCAAAGGGTTTAACACCATTCATGACTATAATAATAATGCAGTAAAGTTAATGCATATAAAACCAAATGTGGTAACACTTTAAAGAGATACCCTTGCTAGAAGACATACAGGCTGTATAAAAATTTTCCCCTAACCCATTTTATTTCCTTTTGTCATGAGAGTGCTCCATTGTATCCGTCTTTAACCACTTCTAGGATGGTGTCTACATTTTGTCAGTGGAAACAGAAATTAAAATCCATGGTAGGCAGTTTATGTTTACATTTCTTGGAGAGCTTCAAAGGCTTGAATTCTTGTCCTCTCTGACTAAGAAGCTAATTTCAACTCTTTTTTTTTTTTTATAAATTGTGATTTTTATCTACATGTACTTGATTTGAATGATTGTTTACAATCTCAAAAGTTTCTCTGTTCTTGGAAGATAGGATTTTATCTTGGTTATACAGAATAAGAATATGTAATACTTTATAGAGCGTGTTTGCCTGACAAAGTTTGGCTTACCTGCTTCTGTTGTTCAAAGTTAATCATAGTAATGTATCTCTGTACTTTTTTTTATACCTTAGCTCTGTCTCGCCAAATCTTCATATGTATCGAAGGTAAAATAGGGGACTTGAATAAAGTTAAAACGTTCATTATCATTCACACCAAGCGCTATCTTGCCAGAAGTGTGCTGACATCCCAATTCAGATGGCCCTCCGGCTGCAACATTCTCACCCCCTCCTTTGGAGTGTAGGCACTACTCCTCCCACCTTCAAGACTAGTCCATCTAACCAGTTTCCTCTGATTCCATTCATAAATATTACCTTGTTCATACCCCAACAGTATGTCAAACATTATAAAGCCATTTGTCTCCATGCACTCTCATGTATCATGCTCACTTAAGCCTGCTGGTTGCTCAAGCCCTTAGCACTCAAAACCTGCTTTACCCTCTCCTAGGTGTTTTAACAAAATTCCTTGGAAATATTTCATACTTTCCTTGAGACCAAGCAATGCCACTAGTCTTTCTTTGAATAATAACTTAAAAACAATGTATTTCTTTGATATTTCTGACATGGTAATATTTAAACTGAACTAGCGCTTATTAGTGAGATACAGTATGTGGCTGTAGATATATTCTATTCAAAATCCTACTTTTAAAAAATTATCTACAGCCTTATTTCTTCAGTCCTATTTGTACACATGTCCACAGAGGTTTGCTTTTGCTTAAGGAATTTTTTTTTTTTCTTCAAACCAGCCATATCCCACCAAGGCAGGGTGGCTCAAAAAGAAAAACAAAAGTTTCTCTTTTTAAATTTAGTAATTTATACAGGAGAAGGGGTTACTAGCCCCTTGCTCCCGGCATTTTAGTCGCCTCTTACGACACGCATGGCTTACGGAGGAAGAATTCTGTTCCACTTCCCCATGGAGGTTAAGGAAATTTATTCATTGAAAATCTAGAAAGCTCATGAGAGATTATGTTAACATTTCTTTCGCCTAACATTCTGGATTTAAGCCGAAGTTTGGAGGGTCATCGTAATTGTGGCGTCTGCATACTTCTGGCAGGACAACTGTTGAGTGATGGTAAATGTGCTGCTTTTTTGTGAGGAAGGGGGAGGGTCATCTTGGTGAGAAATGATTAACATGGTAAACAAAGGAAGACTGAGACCCCCAGAGGATAAAATTACCATGAATTTCACTACCATGGACTTTCATACAATACAATAAAATAGTAATGATTCCCTTACTTGAAGCACTATATAGGAAAGGTAAGTTATCACTTGTTCACTGTAACCTTATGATGTTCGGTTGTACTACCATGTAATTTATATTTGTTTATTTTATTTTAGAACCGGAAGTGGTTGATGATGATCTAACGGAAGGAGAGCTCCACGACTTGTATTCTCATCCAGAAAAACGTAAAAGGACAGAAGTCACTCCAGATGATGACAGTCTTCATGATGACAGTGGTAACTACACAGGCCTTGGCCAGCTGTCTGATTCACTTGACATGGATGAAAATGCAAATACAAGTCCTCCTATTACTTCTGTTGAAAAAAACAGAAAATCTTCTGTGGAAATGCAGTGTGTGTCATCACCTGACCAATCTTCTGTGGAAATGCAGTATGTGTCGTCACCTGACCAACTCAAATCCAGAAACCCATTTGCAAAATCCAAATCTGTTTCTAAAATGCAAGTCTCTTCAGGTGGACAGTTTAGTGCTCTAAAGAAATTCAGCAAAATACAAAGGACTGTGGTGGATCAAAACATCATAGTCCACAGCAGGTTAGGATATATGAAATTTTTGAGCTTGCTTTTAACTACAGTACTGATTACTGATGTACAGTATATATCTGGCATAACAAGTAAACAAAATTCAGGTTTATACCTTTTTATGTTTGTTGAAATAGGATGCTATAATAAGATTTGTTGAAGTTTTAATTACAATCTAAAGGAGGGGTTTGGGATATTTGCTATTTAGAGTGACATTTAAAGTGTCATATCTGCATGCCTCTGGCAAAATAGTGATAGTGTGAATCATGTTGAAAGTTTTTCTTTTTTGAGTCACCCTACCTCAGTGGGAAACAGCTGTGTGGGAATCTAGATGAAGAATAAGCAGGTAATATAACCCGAGTTTGACAGCATTAGTTACATGTTCACATTATAGAGAGAGCAAGGCTTGGCAGCATGGCTAGGCACCTCAGGCATCAATGGACACCCAGCCTAACTATTGTCCTCCTACAGTTACCAGTTTAAATGCCAAAAGCATAAAAGCCTTGCTGGAAAACTTTGGGCTTGTTCTTTTTCCTGAATATTATACAGTATGTAGATTCTTTGAGCATATGTAGTTTGTTCCAAGGATTGCAGTCTGTACCACGTTCATTTTTTTTTTTTTTAAGTCGGCCATCTCCCACCGAGGCATGGTGACCCAAAAAGAAAGAAAATTCCCCCCAAAAAATACTTTCATCATCATTCAACACTTTCACCACACTCACACATAATCACTGTTTTTGCAGAGGTGCACAGAATACAACAGTTTAAAAGCATGTACATATAAAGATACACAGAATAAGGGAGTTGTAGATGTGGAGGTTTTGGGTAGATGGCGAGAATATTTTGAGGAACTTTTAAATGTCGACGAAGAAAGGGAGGCGGTAATTTCATGCACTGGCCAGGGAGGTATACCATCTTTTAGGAGGGAAGAAGAACAGGACATGAGTGTGGGGGAGGTGCGTGAGGTATTACGTAGAATGAAGGGGTAAAGCAGCTGGAACTGATGGGATCATGACAGAAATGTTAAAAGCAGGGGGAAATATAGTGTTGGAGTGGTATTTTTGTTTAATAAATGTATGAAAGAGGGGAAGGTACCTAGGGATTGGCAGAGAGCATGTATAGTCAATTTATATAAAGAGAACAGGGACAAAAGAGATTGTAAAAGTTATAGTGGAATAAGTTTACTGAGTATACCAGGAAAAGTGTACAGTAGGGTTATAATTGAAAGAATTAGAGGTAAGACAGAATGTTGGATTGCGGATGAGCAAGGAGGTTTTAGAGTGGGTAGGAGATGTGTAGATCAAGTGTTTACATTGAAGCATATATGGGAACAGTATTTAGATAAAGGTATGGAAGTTTTTATTGCATTTATGGAATTAGAAAAGGCATATGATAGAGTGGATAGGGCAGCAATGTTGCAGATGTTGCAAGTATATGGAATAGGTGGTAAGTTACTAAATGCTGTAAAGAGTTTTATGAGGATAGTGACGCTCAGGTTAGGGTGTGTAGAAGAGAGGGAGACTACTTCCCAGTAAAAGTAGGTCTTAGACAGGGATGTGTAATGTCACCATGGTTGTTTAATATGTTTATAGAGGGGGGTTGTAAAAGAAGTAAATGCTAGGGTGTTCGGGAGAGGGGTGGGATTAAATTATGGGGAATCTAATACAAAATGGGAATTGACACAGTTGCTTTTTGCTGATTATACTGTGCTTATGGGAGATTCTAAAGAAAAATTGCAAAGGTTAATAATGGACGAGTTTGGGAGAGTGTGTAAAGGTAGAAAGTTAAAAGAGAGCATAGAAAAGAGTAAGATGATGATGGTATCAAATGATTTAGATAAAGAAAAATTGGATATCAAATTGGGGAGGAGTATGGAAGAAGTGAATGTTTTCAATTACTTGAGAGTTGACGTGTTGGCGGATGGATTTATGAAGGATGAGGTTAATCAATGAATTGATGAGGGATAAAAGGTGAGTGGTGCATTGAGATATATGTGGAGACAAAAAATGTTATCTATGGAGGCAAAGAAGGGAATGTATGAAAGTATAGTAGTACCAACACTCTTATATAGATGTGAAGCTTGGGTTGTGAATGCTGCAGCGAGGTGGTGGTTGGAGGCAGTGGAGATGTCCTGTCTAAGGGCAATGTGTGGTGTAAATATGCAGAATATTCGGAGTGTGGAAATTAGGAGAAGGTGTGGAGTTAATAAAAGTATTAGTCAGAGGGCTGAAGAAGGGTTGTTGAGGTGGTTTGGTCATATAGAGAGAATGGATCACAGTAGAATGACATGGAGAGCGTTTGAATTGTAGGGGAAGGAAGGCGGGGTAGGGGTCAACCTTGAAAAGGTTGGAAGGAAGGGGTAAGGGAGGTTTTGTGGTCGAGGGGGCTTGGACTTCCAGCAGGCGTGCGTGAGCATGTTCGATAGGAGTGAATGGAGACGAATGGTATTTGGGATCTGACGATCTGTTTGAGTGTGAGCAGGGTAATATTTAGCAAAGGGATTCAGGGAAACCGGTTATTTTTATGTAGCCGGACTTGAGTCCTGGAAATGGGAAGTACAATGCCTGCACTCTCAAGGAGGGGTTCAGGATATTGGCAGTTTGGAGGGATATGTTGTGTATCTTTATACGTACAGTATATGCTTCTAAACTGTTGTGTTCTGAGCACCTCTGCAAAAACAGTGATTATGTGTGAGTGAGGTGAAAGTGTTGAATGATGAAAGTATTTTCTTTTGGGGGATTTTCTTTATTTTTGGATCACCCTGGCTCGGTGGGAGACAGCCGACCTGTTAAAAAAAAAAGAAAAAAAAAATTAACTACTTCCATACTCCTCCTCCCCAATTTGATACTCAATTTTTCTTTATCTAAATCATTTGATACCCTCATCACCTTACTCTTTTCTATGTTCACTTTCAACTTTCTACCTTTACACACACGTCCAAACTCGTCCACTAACCTTTGCAGTTTTTCTTTCAGCAAAAAGTAACTTTGTCAGTTCCCATTTTGTATTAGATTCCCCATAATTTAATCCCACCCCTCTCCTGAACACCCTAGCATTTACTTCTTTTACAGCCCCATCTATAAATATATAAAACAACCATGGTGAAATTACACATCCCTGTCTAAGACCTACTTTTACTGGGAAGTAATCTGCCTCTCTTCTACACACCCTAACCTGAGCCTCACTATCCTCATAAAAACTCTTTACAGCATTTAGTATATTACCACCTATTCCATATACTTGCAACATCTGCCACATTGCTCCCCTATCCACTCTATCATATGCCTTTTCTAAATCCATAAATGCAGTAAAATCTTGCCTACCTTTATCTAAATACTGTTCACATATATGCTTGAACGTAAACACTTGATCTACACATATCATACCCACTCTAAAACCTCCTTGCTCATCTGCATCCTACATTCTGTCCTACCTCTAATTCTTTCAATAATAACCCTACTACACTTTTCCTGGTATACTCAGTAAACTTATTCCACTATAATTTTTACAGTCTCTTTTGTCCCCCTTCCCTTTATATAAAGGGACTATACATGCTCTCCTCCAATTCCTAGGTACCTTCCCTCTTTCATACATTTATTAAACAAAAATACCAACTACTCCAACACTATATCCCCCCCTGCTTTTAACATTTCTGTCATTATCCCGTCAGTTCCAGCTGCTTTACCCCCTTTCATTCTACGTAATGCCTCATGCACCTCCCCCACCCTCACATCCTGCTCTTCACTCCTAAAAGATGGTATACCTCCCTGGCCAGTGCATGAAATTATCGCATCCCTTTCTTCGTCGACATTTAAAAGTTCCTCAAAATATTCTCGCCATCTACCACGTTCATATTGTATACAATAATACACTACACCTACCATCCGACTTACGACCAAGTTCGGTTTTGAGAAACCGGTCGTAAGTCGAACTTTACTACTGAATATCAACAAAACATTTTTGTAATGACTTTATTTTTTTGTTTTATTTTGGTATTTCATGTTTTACTTTACTTTTTATGCTGTTAGTACTGTATTTTATACTGTAAGGTTTAGGATAAACACTGTGTACAACACAAATAGTTGTTTATTTCCCAGAAATTTGGCATAAAAAACACGGTTGTAAATCGAGTGGTCGTAAGTCAAGCAGGTCGTAAGTCGGATGGTAGGTGTATTATATATTCCAAAATCTCCAAAATTAGTAAAATAAAATTTTATATTCAAAATCATCGGGAGCAAGGGGCTAGTAACCCCTTCTCCTGTATATATTACTAAATGTAAAAGGAGAAACTTTCATTTTTCCTTTTGGGCCACCCCGCCCCAGTGGGATACGGCCAGTGTGTTGAGAGAAAGAAAGATTCAGAATCATCATCAACGTTCTGAATTTTCCAAACATAGAATGATTTCCATGAGCTTCATTAGAATTTCTCTTTCAGAAAGTTCTGCGTAAGAAAATAAAATTGTTCAAATCGGAGTTTGGAGAGATGATTTTTTACTAAAATTGTAGTTATACAACTGATTACTGCTTGTATCAAGCTTTATTGATAAAAAAAAAATTGAAGAATCTTTGTGAAATAACGATTTTTTTATTCAGTATACCAGAATAGCTTTACAGTTAATTAATTGGTAATTATAAATATATTTGGGGAGTAATAATAATGATAATAATAGTTTCTTTGAACAGAGATGTATTATTATTAATGATAATAGGTTCACAAGGAAATATAATTGTGTAATTAACTGTATTGTATTTTCAGATATTTTGCATCTTCTGATATTAAGACAACACCTTTAAGCCATGCCAGTCCACCAGTTATTAATAATACTCTAACAGAAGAGTATCAGAACCAGAAAGTCAGAGAGACAATGAAGAAGTGCCTGGCAATAGGTTGGAAATTAAATTTGAAACCAGTCCATCTAAATTAATAAAAACTCCTTTATCTCCTGTCCAGACTAACACTCCACCATCAAAACCTAGTAAGACTTTTATTTGGGGAAAGTTGTCTGATATGTTTGCCCGCACCAAGGAGAAAACCATAAAAATTGAGAATAGTGCAGCAACAAAGAACACTTTCAAGCCTGTAACCCAACCAGAAGATAAAATAGTATGCAAGGAGAATACTTTTGCTTCATGTGGAAACTCTGAGAGTGAGGAATTGTCATTATCACTAAAGAGTCATGTGCCGGAAATATCATTTTGCAGTGACGCAGATTCACTGGATAGTGCTTTTGACTCCACAACTTCATCCTTGCCCTCAGCATCTCAAAAGAGTCAAGTGTCTGAACATAAATTTTGCAGTGACATTGATTCTTTGGATAATTTTGATTTAACATCATCCTTGCCTTTAGTGCCAGAAGAAACTGAGACAACTCCAACGCTGACCAGTCCTGTGGTATGTGTTATCAGTGAAACTTCAAAATATTGTGACTGTTGCCTCTAATACTGTTTGTTTAAGAATACAGTGGACCCCCGCTTAACGATCACCTCCCAATGTGACCAATTATGTAAGTGTATTTATGTAAGTGAGTTTGTACGTGTATGTTTGGGGGTCTGAAATGGACTAATCTACTTCACAATATTCCTTATGGGAACAAATTCGGTCAGTACTGGCACCTGAACATACTTCTGGATTGAAAAAATATCGTTAACCGGGGGTCCACTGTATATCTCCATATATTCTACATTTTTGTTTACAAAATGTAAAATACCCTTCATTCATCCTTTAAAAACTATGATTTTTCATACTGTTTAATGGTACCACATTGTTTAAGTCATTCACTGTATGTTGAGGAATATTATGTTTAAGAGGTAAAGTGGTACACTACTTACATCCGTTTTCCTGTATGAATTTACGGAAAAAATAATTTGATGAGGGTATTTGTTTCAGAGCCCATAGCATACATGGCATTTCGAGCAGAACCAGAGCTACCATATTTTCTGGCATATAAGGCATGCCTTTTTTCCACAAAATGTCCTGGTAAATCACCCTGCACTTTATATGCTCAAGGTCAGGGTCAAGGGTAGGCTATGAGGGTAATTAGCCCTTGACTATGATTACTGATTTACCATTATGATACTTTTGTCATGCTCCTTATATGCCAGAAAATATGGTAATACTGTATGGGGCTTTGCAAGCTCATGTATAGTGTAATGCTTATACCTATTGCATATAAATTTGTGAGATAATCTCTTTAAGTGTTGATATAAGCAGTAAAGAAGTTCTGAGAAATTTACAATTACTGTACAATTCATAAGACTGTAATTGAATACTAGTATGAGATTGATAATTTATATTAATCGCATTAATATTGTCTTGAATAATTATTAGGGAAAAATTGCACTTTAACAATGAATAGGATATTAGTAATGTGCAGCATATGCAGACCTGAAATTGATAAGTATGAAGACACTGATAGAATTAAATTTATTTACTTGCGACTTTAAGTACAGAATAACCAAGTTTCTTCGAGGAATACTGTAGTACTTTGTATTTTGATGAGAGAATTCTTTCAGGAAACTAAGCATTAAGGACTACTGAATATGGGATAGCTGCAGAATATAGGGTAGATATGGGGTATAGCAAAATCAGTAAAAGCTTAGATGTGTAGTTTTTATACTGGAGTGTTAATAGTCTCACCAGTAAAACATGAAATTGTTATTATTTTCACAAAAAGCACGTATATATACTCAAAAATTCTAGCAGCTTCAAATCAAGCGGGAGAAAGCTGGTACTCCTACGAGAGAATGGATCTGTGTGGTTAGTGTGCGCAGTCTAAAAAAAATCCTGCAGCACGCAGTGCATAATGAGAAAAAAAAAAACTGACCGTGTTTTTGGATTAAAATGCCGCCAACTTTGAGGTGTATTTTTGTATAGTATTTATTTTTGTATTCTCGTTTTCTTGGTCTCATTTGATAGAATGGAAGACATGTTATAGAAATAGAGATGATTTTGATTGGTTTCACTATGAAAAGGACCTTGAAATGGAGCTCAAATTAGCGGAAATGTTAGATTTTTGCCAATGTTAAAGAGTAAACAAATGACATCATTGTCCAATAAATGTCCAACTAGCCTTTCTAATATGCAGTCATGAATGGGTTGACATTAGTTATACAATTATTACAATAATGCAGTAGTCTGCATAACAGTAAATCTTCTATTTTTTGTGTGAATAAAAATTCAAAATAGAAAGCAAGAGTAATATAAGAGGGGCCTAGAGACATGACTGATGAACAGAGAAAATGTTATTTTAGTGCCAGGAATGTCTGCATTGTTCATTCTGTACCTTATTTTGAAATTGGCATATTTTTTAATTTGCGTGAAATTGGCCAAATTGCCAATTTCTGACCACTTTATTGGGTAGTTGAAATTGGTAAATGGGCAGTTTCTTGTACTCAATCAATAGAAGAAATGGAATTCTAAAGAAATAGCTATGAGTTTGGTCAACTGGAACACTGGAATTGGCTGAATATGAGGCTGAAAGTGGGTGAAATCGCCGATGCATAAATATTGCCGAGATCACTAACCTCGCGAGAGCGTAATTCCGTAATTTTTTTTTTTCTCTCCTCAAATATTTTGCGACACTGAGACACACTCTAAGGTTGGGGGACTGTGACAGCCAAAGGGTTAAGACAGACACAACGGAAAGGTGGTTTCATGTGCTAAGATGAGGATAGCTCTTGTTATTTCAGAAGTCAGTCATTGTTTCAGTAACTAGTTGAAATTGTTGTTTTTGTGTTATGTTTAATTGAAACTTTAAAAGGGAGGGGTTGGGATATTGACAGGTTGGAAAGATATGTTATATATCTTTATACGTACATTTGATTCTAAAATGTTGTTTTTTCTGGGCACCTCTGCAAAAACAGTGATTATGTATGAGTGAGGTGAAAGTGTTGAGTGATGATGAAAAGTTTTTTTTCTTTTGGGGATTTTCTTTCTTTTTTGGTCACACTGCTTGGTTGGGAGATGGCAACTTGTTGAAAAAATTATATATATATTATATATATTAATATATTATAATATTTATTTTTATTTATTCAGTTGGACCCGCATTCGATTACCTCCGGAATGCGACGAATTATGTAAGTGTAATTATGTAAGTGCATTTTGTACTGTATGTTTGGGGTCTGAAATGGACTAATCTACTTCACAATATTTCTATGGGAACAATTCGGTCAGTACTGGCACCTGAACATACTTTCTTGAGTGAAAAAATATCGTTAACTGGTTCCATTATATATATGTAATCCTAGTAGTAGGTTGGTAGACAGCAACCACCCAGGAAGGTTACTACCGTCTGCCGAGTGAGTGTAAAAGAAGCCTGTAATTGTTTTACATGATGGTAGGATTGCTGGTGTCCTTTTTTCTGTCTCATAACATGCAAGATTTCAGGTATGTCTTGCTACTTCTACTTACACTTAGGTCACACTACACATACATTTTTTTTTTTTTACCCACCCGTCGATTCCCCCAAGCAGGGTGGCCGAAAAAAAAAACTTTCACCATCATCACTCATCACTGTCTTGCCAGAAGGTGCTTTACACTACAGTTTTAAACTGCCACATTAACACCCTCCTTCAAGTGAAAGGGAAAGTACTTCCCATCTCCGGATTTTAATCCCCTGCCTTTCCCTGGGAAACCCTTATAAATGTTTCTTTGCTCACACTTCCAACGCAGTCAAGTATTAAAAACCATTTTCTCCATTCATCTATAAAACACGCTCAGCATGCCTGCTGGAAGTAAGCCCCCGCACACAAACCCCCCTTTTCCCCCTCCCTCCCAAACCCTTCCTAGGGCCACCCCCACCCCCCCCTTTCCTTCCACTCAGACTGATACACTCTTGAAGTCATTCTGTTTCGCTCCATTCTTCCCACTGTCCAACCACCTCAACAACCCCTTCCCAGCCCTCTGACAACAGTTTTGGAATCCCCCACCTCCTCCTAACTTCCAAACACGAAAACTGCATTATATTTTCCCCAACATTCCCTCAGAATGATCTCCCTGCCTCCAGCCTTCTCCTCGTGCAACATTCATCACCCACGCTTCACACCCATATAAGAGCGTTGGTAAAACTATACTCTATACTTCCCCCCTTTTGCCTCCAAGGACAAAGTTTCTTTGTCCCCACGATCCTAAGTGCACCACTCATTTTTTTTCCCTCTCAATTTATTTTCACCTCTTTTTATAGACCCATCCGCTGACACGTCCCCCCCAAATATCTGAATCATTCACCTCCTCCATACCCCCCCTCCCAAACGTTTTAAATCTTTCATCACCTAATCTTTTTGTTATCCTCAAACCCTTACCTTTCCTGATTCCCCTTTAATTTTCTTTTTTTGCACACCCTACCAAATTCATCCACCAATTCTGCAATTCTTTCAAAATTCCCAAAGGCAAGGTACAGCAAAGAGCAGCGTGAAACTCCCACTTTGTGTGTGATTCTTTATTTTTTAACCCACCCTCTTCCAAGCCCTCCATTTCTTCTCTTCAACCCCATCTATAAATTATTAAACAACCACGGTGACACACACCCCTTTTGTCAAAGGCCTCCCTTTTACGGGGAAAAAATTTTCTTCTTTCCTACTCTCTAATTTGAGCCTCACTTTCCTCGTAAAAACTCTTCACTGCTTTAAATAACCTCCTCCAACCCATAATTTGTAACATCTGCCACATTGCCCCCCTACCACCCTGTCATATGCCTTTTCCAAATCCATAAATGCCAAAAGACCTCTTTGGCCTTATCTAAATACTGTTCACTTTATTTTCACTGTAAAACACCTGGTCCACACCCCCCAAACCCTTTTCCAAAAGCCTCCGTTCACTGATCCTTTTCTCCGTCTTACTTTTAAATTCTTTCAATTATAATCTCCATACACTTTACCAGGTACACTAACAACTTTTTCCCCAAAAATTTTTTTGCACTCTTTTTTATCCCCTTTGCCTTTATAAAAAAGAACTATGATGCTCTCTCCCAAACCCCTAGGTCCCTTTCCCCTTTTCCCCTTTCATTTTTTAAAAATTGCCCCCAACCATCCAAAACTATACCCCCACCTGCTTTTAACATTTCTATCTTTATCCCTCAATCCCGGTGCCTTACCCCCCTTTTTTTTTGCTACTGCCCCCAGAACTTCCCCCCCATCCAAACTGGTCTTCCTCATCCCACAAGATGTTATTCCCCTTTCCCCATACACAAATCACAGTCCCTTCTTCATCAACATTTAACAAAACTCAAAATATTCCTTCCTCTTCCCAAACCTCTAACTTCCTTTAATAACTCTCCCCTCCTATTTTTAAATGACAAAACCATTTTTTCCTTTTGGGTTTTTACTTTTTTAAACTCACTCCAAAACTTTTTTCCCTTATTTTTAACAAAATTTGTTGATAACATTCACCCCCCTCTCTCATTTGCTCTCTTTTTACATTGCTTCCCACTCTTTAACATACAGTACGCTTTATCACACACAGTTTTTTGGGTTTTTTATTTTCTTTTAGTTCTTTTTCTTGTTTATTTCCCTTTCCTCCGGGGAAGTGGAAAAAAATTCTTCCCCCCGTAAGCCATGGTGTTGTAAGAGGCGACTAAAAAGCCGGAGCAAGAGGTAGTAACCCTTTTTTTGGGTTTTATAACTAAATGTAAAAGGGGGAAACTTTTGTTTTTCCTTTTTGGGGCCCCCCTCCTCGGTGGGTAAGGTGGTGGTTTAAAAAAGAAATATGTAATCCCGGTAGTAGGGGTAGACAGCAAACCCCCCAGGGGGGTACCGTCCTGCCAAGTGGTGTAAAAAGAAAGCCTTTAAATTTTTTTTTCTGAGGTAGGATTGCTGGTGTCCTTTTTTTTTTCTATAAACATGCAAGATTTTCAGGTAGTCTTGACTTCTAAATTACACTTAAGTCACACCACACAAAATTACAAGCTTAATACACAATCCCCTTGGGGTTTTTTGCTTTTTCTTTTTTTGTTCTTTTTAATTCCTCTTTTTCCATGGGGAAGTGGAACAGAATTTTTCCTCCGTAAACCCTGCGTGTTGTAAGAGGCACTAAAATGCCGGAGCAAGGGGTTAGTAACCCCCTTTTCCCGTATAAATTACTAAATATAAAAAAGAGAAACTTTTTTTTTTCTTTTGGGCACCCGCCTCGGTGGGAAAGCCGGGTGTGTTGAAAAAAGAAAGAAAGATATGATGTTTTCCTATAATCCCAGGAGAGTTTTTAAACAGCAACCGCCCAGGGGGACTACCGCCCCAATAGTGAAAAACCCAAAACCCTTTAATTTTAAAAATATTAGGATGCGGGGGTCCCTTTTTCTTTCAAAACTGCAAGATTTTAGGACATCTGCACACTCTTGCACAGGCCACACAATACTTTCAAAGATAAATTTTCCCAAATCGGTTTTCCATTTTTCTTTCATTCTTGGCTTTTTTATTTCCTCTTTCCTCCTGGGGAAATGGAACAAATTTTTCCCCTAAGCCAGGGGGTTGTAAGAGGGGACTTAAAAACCGGACAAGGGGCAGTAACCCCCCCTCCTGTTATATTACTAAATGTAAAAGGGAAAAATTTCGTTTTTTTTTTGGCCCCCCTGCCTCTGTGGGTAAAAGGCCGGGTGTTGAAAGAAAGAAATGATGTAACCTAGGTAATCCTAGGTTAAGGGTTGGTAAACACAACCCCCGGAGGTACCCCCCGTCCTGCCAATAGTGACAACGGCCTTTAATTGTTTTACAATTATTCTGGGGGCTTTTTTTCCCAAAAAAACATCAAGATTTCGGTATCTTGCTACAAATACTTGCACTTTAGTCACATTCCATACATGACAAGAAAAAACAAAACCCCCCCCTAGGTTTTTTTCATTTTCCCCTAGCTTTACTTTTTTTTTCCCCCACCCCAAATAACAAAATTTTTCCCCCAACCTTGTTGTAACGCAAAGCCAACAAAGAACCCCTTCCCCCAATGAAAAAAAAAAATTTTTTTTTCCCCCCCGCCCGGTGGGGATCACCGGGGGTTTGGGGAAAAAAAGAGATACCTAATGTTGGTTGTGCAGCAACCCCAGGGGTTTTTACCTTCCTGCCAAGTAGAAAAACGGGGCCGAAGTTTTACGATGGGGAAATTGTGGTGTATGGGGGAATAGTGGTAAATTTGGGGTCAAGGGGAAATGTAAATGGGGAGCCTTTTAATTTAGCTTTGTGTAGAAAGAAATTTGGAATAAAATACTATTTTTTTGAAAAAGAGGAAAAAAATATACAAGGGAAGATTACACGTAAAAAGAGTTTATTAGAAAATGATTGGTGGAAAAAGGTTGATGAGGCTCCAAAAATTCAGATAAACACTTTTCTCATTTAATTTACTACAAATAAAATTTTTGGAAAGGGGGAATCCCAATAAAAAAAAATTTAAATAAAGGGGGTTCGGGGAATTAACCCTTAAAAGGGGGGGTTCAAAATGGTTTTAAATTTATTTTTAAAAAAATTTTTTTTTTTTTAAATTCAAAAAAAAGTTTTAAAAATAAATTTTTTAAAAAAAAAAACTTTAAATTTTTCCTTTTTTTAAAAAAATTATTAATAAAAAATTTTTTAAATTAAAATCAAAAAAAATATAATAACCTTTAAAAATTTTAATAAAAAAAAAAAATTTTTATATTAAAAGTTAAAAACTGGGAATAAAATTGTAGTAAAAAACAAGTAAGGGGGTTGTAAATAATTTTATATCAAATATTTTAAACTTTTAAAAATTAAAAAAAAACATAATTTTTCCTGGCAAAACCTCTTTTTTAAAAAAAATTAATTTCTTTCATTAAAATGGGGGGAAAAGCTAACTTTATCTACAAAATTTAAAACGGGGGGTAATTTTTGGTTTCTTTTTTATAATTAAAAAAAAACCAAAAACATTTTCCCTTTATTAAAAGGGAAAGGGGGCAAAAAAGACTGTAAAAATTATAGAGGAATAAGCTTACTGAGTATACCAGGAAAAGTGTACGGTAGGGTTATAATTGAAAGAATTAGAGGTAAGACAGAATGTAGGATTGCGGATGAGCAAGGAGGTTTCAGAGTGGGTAGGGGATGTGTAGATCAAGTGTTTACATTGAAGCATATATGTGAACAGTATTTAGATAAAGGTAGGGAAAGTTTTTATTGCATTTATGGATTTAGAAAAGGCATATGATAGAGTGGATAGGGGAGCAATGTGGCAGATGTTGCAAGTATATGGAATAGGTGGTAAGTTATTAATGCTGTAAAGAGTTTTTATGAGGATAGTGAGGCTCAGGTTAGGGTGTGTAGAAGAGAGGGAGACTACTTCCCGGTAAAGTAGGTCTTAGACAGGGATGTGTAATGTCACCATGGTTGTTTAATTTAAATTTATAGATGGGGTTGTAAAGGAAGTAAATGCTAGGGTGTTCGGGGAGAGGGGTGGGATTAAATTTTGGGGAATCAAATTCAAAATGGGAATTGACACAGTTACTTTTTGCTGATGATACTGTGCTTGTGGGAGATTCTAAAGAAAAATTGCGAAGGTTAGTGGATGAGTTTGGGAATGTGTGTAAAGGTAGAAAAGTTGAAAGTGAACATAGAAAAGAGTAAGGTGATGAGGGTGTCAAATGATTTAGATAAAGAAAAATTGGATATCAAATTGGGGAGGAGGAGTATGGAAGAAGTGAATGTTTTCAGATACTTGGGAGTTGACGTGTCGGCGGATGGATTTATGAAGGATGAGGTTTAATCATAGAATTGATGATGGAAAAAAGGTGAGTGGTGCGTTTGAGGTATATGTAGAGTCAAAAAACGTTATCTATGCAGGCAAAGAAGGGAATGTATGAAAGTATAGTAGTACCAACACTCTTATATGGGTGTGAGTTTGGGTGGTAAATGCAGCAGCGAGGAGACGGTTGGAGGCAGTGGAGATGTCCTGTTTAAGGGCAATGTGTGGTGTAAATATTATGCAGAAAATTCGGAGTGTGGAAATTAGGAAAAGGTGTGGAGTTAATAAAAGTATTAGTCAGAGGGCAGAAGAGGGGTTGTTGAGGTGGTTTGGTCATTTAGAGAGAATGGATCAAAGTAGAATGACATGGAAAGCATATAAATCTATAGGGGAAGGAAGGTGGGGTAGGGGTCGTCCTCGAAAGGGTTGGAGAGAGGGGGTAAAGGAGGTTTTGTGGGCAAGGGGCTTGGACTTCCAGCAAGCGTGCGTGAGCGTGTTAGATAGGAGTGAATGGAGACGAATGGTACTTGGGACCTGACGATCTGTTGGAGTGTGAGCAGGGTAATATTTTAGTGAAGGGATTCAGGGAAACCGGTTATTTTCATATAGTCGGACTTGAGTCCTGGAAATGGGAAGTACAATGCCTGCACTTTAAAGGAGGGGTTTGGGATATTGGCAGTTTGGAGGGATATGTTGTGTATCTTTATATGTGTATGCTTCTAGACTGTTGTATTCTGAGCACCTCTGCAAAAACAGTGATAATGTGCGAGTGTGGTGAAAGTGTTGAATGATGATGAAAGTATTTTCTTTTTGGGGATTTTCTTTCTTTTTTGGGTCACCCTGCCTCGGTGGGAGACGGCCGACTTGTTGAAAAAAAAAAATATATATATATATATATATATATATATACACACACCCTATGGGTTTTCTTCCATTTTCTTACTAGTTCTTGTTCTTGTTTATTTCCTGTTATCTCCATGGGGAAGTGGATCAGAATTCTTCCTCCGTAAGCCGTGAGTGTTGTAAGAGGCAACTAAAGTCCCAGGAGCAAAGGGCTAGTAACCCCTTCTCCTGTATATATTACTAAATGTAAAAGGAGAAACTTTCATTTTTTTTTTGGGGGGGGGGCCTCCCTGCCTCAGTGGGATATGGCCGATGTGTTGAAAGAACAAAGAAGATGTATGTATAATCATGGGGAGTGCTAAACCTGAAGGGAGGGGGTCATACAGCACCTGGGAGAATGGGAGACATTGAGATTCAATCCAGGGATGGAGAGGGCAGGTTGAATTCCTTGGATCAAAACCCCTTCTTTCTCACCGGTACAAAGAACCTCTCTCAGAGAATGAAAACCATGAAAATATGCCATATAATGAAAGATTATTGTGTCCAAATAAGTTTTCCAACATGTTAGAAAATTAAACTATACAGTATAATATTTTATGTGCATTAATATAAGTTTACTTTGTATGGACAGAGGACTAAGTTGACTTCTTCAAGAAATGATCACAAATGCAGAACTCCAGGACTATTTCGGTCAAACAAGAAGAAGAATAAGAACCAGCTTGGTGTTAAGCAGCTGAGTCTTAAAGATATGTTTGCTTTTAAAAAGTGAGTATTACTCTTGTTAAAAATAATACTGTAGGACTCCTAAGTTGTGCAACTTCTTAGTTTTCCATTGCAGTTTATACAAAAAAGTCTTCATGGATTTATCATTTCTAAAATTTCACTAGTAAATCTATACCAGTTACATTCATAACTTTGCACCACATCTGCTTCCCACCAAGTAAGGATGGGAAAGGGAAAGAAACACATTCCAATTGCTCATTCACTAGCTCTTTTTTCCAGAAATGTGCAGGCATTTTAATTCAAATAACCCACCCATCTTTCAGAGTGTAGGCACTGTACTTTCCATCTTTAGGACTTGAGTCTAGCTAGCTGGTTTTGCAGACTTCCTTGACTGTAAATGGTATGATGATACTTGCAAACTGTGGAAAAAGGACACTTGTGTACAGTGAAGAACATTTAATAAATATTCTTAACTGTACATAAGGGTCCCTTGTTACCATGGTCACATTTGAACAACACATTACATCCCAAAAACCACTTGTCTCCACATGTTTAGATTTAACATATACACGTATGCCTGCTGGATGCTTGAAAACCTCACCCTGCTCCTCTAACTCTTCCTGGATTGTCTCCTTCCTCTCTTTCCAACCTGGATTTACACACCCTCTTAGTTAACCTTATTCTATGTCATCCTTTAAGTGGCCATTCATCTTGGAAACCACCTCTCTGCCCTTTAAATTATACATTTAATAACACCACACCATCTTTTAATTTCTACATTCCTCATTGAGCTCATACATGACATATATACTGCCTTCAACCTCCTGCTTGCTGCATTATTTAATGACCTTACATCACACTAACTCAAGTGTTGACACCAAAACATTCTCTCCTAGATATCTTTCCTTCAAGTCTGATGTCTTATCTTTCATGACCTATATTTTTTTTTTATTCTCATCACTTGCTCTTTTTCTGTGTTAACTTATTAATTTTCTGTGCACCATTTTTCTACTCTAACTTTTGCTACTTCTCTTCAGAATCTCCCAAACGTACTCTTTTGTTAGCATTAAGGAAGAGTAACAAGTCTCACTCCACATCAGATTCAGTCATGACCTATCACCTATCGGCCTGGTCACAGACCGGGCCGCGGGGGCGTTGACCCCCGGAACTCTCTCCAGGTCTCCAGGTAATATATTTACAAGGTGGAAAGCCTGCCAACCCCTGACTTCCATGCACTTGAGTGATGCATGTTTCTCAAGGAACATGTTAAGAGGCCCAGCAATAAGTGATGTATATGCAGGAGGGCATCACCTCTTCCATGGACCAGACATTGTCAGGTGGATTGCACCTCACTTGTCAGGCAAAGTGACTTGGAAATCAAGATAGCTTTAAACCTTCACATGTAGTGTTATTGTCCTAAAGTTCAGCACTTCTTGCCTATTTCCCATATATGTATGGATCACCTTCACTCAGTGCATCTGCCCTATTCAGTATCCATTGGGAATATTGTCAAGTCCCAATGCTTTTTTTTTTATCTAGTTGTCTTGGGAGTTTCATCACTTCCTCCAAAATTGTATATTGTCCAAGTTCAGTTTATCAGTTACACTCCTTGTGTTTTCTGGTACCATTAATGTCTTGCTGAATATTTCTCAAGTTTCTTTTCAGTTCTTCCTATTTAACAGGTAGTAGGTTAATAAAAAGCAGCCATCCCAGATATTACTGTTGTTTAACATTTGAACTCTGGCAGAGTTGCAAGACTTGTCTTTGCTTTGTGACATGTAAAGTGGCAAGTAAATCTTACAGACTTTTAGCATGTTTCTTAATAGCTCTTATTCAGAACATTTCCTTTTCAATTTTGAAGGTATGGTACGAGAAAAGGCCATGGGCGATGATTCCTGGATCCATTAACAGATATTACTCAGTCGCCTATTTTCTTTTCCTAATTTCTTACTTCTAGTCACTTTATTACCAGTCAAGTTTTTTGTTACAGGCTGGAATGCTAGAAAAGTGAACCAGCCACTGCCCTCTTCCCCACACTCTTTATGAAAAACATGTACCTTTTTGCTTTTTCTGGTGATCTCAGCTCTGCTGGCAACTTGGGTCTTAGTGTGTGCCTAAAATGCTGTGCATACTTTGTCTTGCAAAATCTATATCACTTGTATCCATTTTATTAGAAATTATTAGTAGTATAAACACCATAGTGACATCACAATTCCATATGTTTAGCTTACATTTACTGGATAATAATCCCCTACTGTCCTACAGTCAAAAGTGACAAATTTAAAAAAAATTTTAAGCTTTGATAGAAATACACAAATGAACACATGCCATTTATAATTTTGCACCAAAACTGACTTAGGCAGCCTAACCTAGTCTTACTAAACTAATTTCATTTGATATTCTTTTATTGTACACAGTAAATAATGCAATTTTTTTTCATTAAATTTTGCAGTTTTAGCAAGTTAACATATGCTCTGCTTGTTTGGAAAAATGACAGTTGCTTAAGTCGTGTTTGAAAGTTTAGCTTTATTAAATGTGTATATAATGCCATAACTGAAGGCTTGGGGCAGATCATATGGCCTAGGGCTGAGCACACAGGTATGCTGTTGGTATTTTCTTTTAAGTGCAGTTGGACTCGGAGTTGGATTAAAGTATAAATACTGGGCTCTCTTAGAAACTTATGTTGGCAATATCTTAAGTGCTTGTTGGTTCACTGGTTGATGTTATTTCAGTGGAGCATATTTCAAGTGTTGAAAACCAGTAAATGGCATTAAGGTGTGTTTCCTGCAGTCTCCTTTATATTGCACTGCTTTGATATTGTTTAAATGGAAAAAAAACCTGGCATACCTTTTAGTTTTGCCATGTCATGTTTATTTCTTTGAAAAACTGAAAATAAACAAAATGTCTCTTATATACTGTATTAGCATGTAGTTTTCATTCTGTTATATTCTCTTTGAAGAGGGGGAGTGGAGACTTCAAATTTTTTCTTAATCAGGGCGAGTGCTAAACCTGTAATGGCAGTATAATTCATAAGGTATTGAAAGGATAGATTCAGGTTCTTGGGTCAAGAGTTAACCTTACAAGTTTGGCACTTTTCATCTAAAAGATGTGCTATAATTTAATGTTTGAAGAAAAATTCCTTCATTTCAGGGACGGAGCTAAACTTCAAGCAGTGAGATCATCATTTTAAGTTTTTGTATGCAGTTTAGGTTGTTGAAAGTGGTTAACTGCTGATAAGCATCTGGATTCCAAAATGACTAATGTTAAATATTTAACCTTGTGATTTTAGATATACTAGTATTTAAAATTTACATGTGTATACACTGTCAAGGTAAATAAAAATTTTTAGTTGTTTCTATAAAACTCTATTTTTTCAATACAATTACAAAAAATTTGTGCATTAAGTACAGCAAATGTGGTCATCTCGTCAAGATTTTGCAGATGTGCAACACGGCCAACTCTCCCTGGACACAATTGTGTAGATGACCAGCAGAAATCACATTGAAGCAAATTAAAAAATAATTCCTGACACTGACTTGTGACATTTAATAAAAAAAAAGTAGGAATTTACCCTTGGTTGTCCTGGAAGTGCTTGACTATCAACCTTGGGTTCGTGAAGAAGAAAAAGTTATATTGCATTTATCACTTCTGCTAAATAATTAAAGAATAAGGAGAGGATGGGATACTATCTCAAGCCAGTGTGGCTGAAAGTTCCAGTGATCCTGGCTTGTGTTGAACATTTTAAAAGTTTAAATATTGTAATGGCACATAAATCCTTAAATATGTTATGTAGCAAATGGTAAGGGGTGGGGCACTGCAGAGCATTAAAACATGCCCTGCATTTAAGGCACAAATATTTGGGACCAAATTGTTACAGGTATACATAAAATAATGCTTACAATAATTATATTGTAGACAATTTACACAGGAGTTTGATGTATGCATATAAAACTATGGTGTATGACACTGAACAGCATAGCCTAATAATCATCAGGTAATTATATGTATACATACAGAACTATGGTTGACAACAATTATAGCATAGCACCATATATCATAAATGCTGAACAAACACTGAATCACATACAAACATTTATGAGGCTCAAGTGACGTACAAGTGGTTTTTTTTTTTTTTTAAATTTAAGATCTTGAAATAAGTCATACTAATTGAAAGTGCAATAATTGAGCAAATAAAAATCTTGCTAAGCCTCTTACAATTCTCTCCCTGTTCTTCATATTACAACTTTCAACATTAATGAGTATATTTAAAAAAAAAAAAACTGGTTTCAGTTTCTTGTTCTTGACTACCCCATCCCTTACTAACGAACACAACAATACAAAATAACTGTCGCTAAGCAAGTTATCATCCCTGGAAACAATGCAGCAACTCATCTATGTTATAAGAAAATAATGAGTATAACATTACTGCATATTCCCTTTTTGATAAACTTTTTTAAAAGATACTGAATGTAGCCCATAGCTACTTTCACAAAGGCTTTGGCTTCAAAACAAGGAGTCTTGTATCTACAGCTTAAAGGTTATATAATGGATAACTTTTCTCAGAAGTAATTAAAGGAGACCTACAACTGTTGAATGCTAATTTCTTTTAGTTTTATTTTAAAATAAATTGCAATTTTCTGTACACTCAAGAATTAATTTTTTACAGGCGTAAGCAATAACTTGCAAAACCTGACAAAAAAAAAGGGGGGGGGGGGGGGGTCACCATCTGCAAGACAACAAAATGAGCTGTAAATACACAATACCAGTGCTGATTCTGAGCACCTCCAAAGGAACATTAAGACAGGATGGTGGCCAGAGATGGAGGTATAAGAGTGATAAAGTAACCAATGAATCAACCAATACAACTTGCATTTGATGGACAAAACTACTTGCCCTTGTAAATGTCTTATATTAATATACTTATTATTAGTGATGGCCAAAGTTCCTAACACCTGTAGCCACCTGAGAATCTGCCACATTACTGCCTCTCTGTTCCATGATATTCCTACTGTACTTGGGAAACATTAGTCTAACACAACAAATATTAATAAATAGTTTAAATCTGATGAATACTGGGCAAAGGTAGATACCCAGAAGTACAGGAAAGATGAAGATGACAAGGTTGCAAGTCTGAACTGCAATGCCAAGATAAATGAGATCAAAGTCTGAACCCTGAATAGCTATTACAGACTGAGTTTAGATTTGACCTTTCTGAGCTGTACATTGTCAATGGCAGTTCTGGACCTGAACCAAAGTTACAATGGGGACACACTGTAACATAACCTGATGGACATGATCAACCTAATGGTTACTCAAGTAAAGCTATGGTAAACCTCACTAGTGGCTGTTAATAAGCAGACACTCTGCATAGGAACTGCACTGAGCCAAATAAAAGAGGTAAGTAATGATAAAAGTAAAAAAAGCAGCCAACAATTTCAGCAGAACCTGTACACTACACATTTTTACACCTAGAGAAATCGGTATATTTCCAGTACCTACTTAAAATTTTGCTTTCTTTTATCTACATACTTCTCTAAGAAAAAGTTTAATATTAAAATTGTACAACTTTGAACAGATATTTTGTACAGTAGACATTTACCCTTCTAGATTTTAAAGATTTTATTATTAAATATTAAATAGTTATAGTAAACTAAAGCATTCACATTCAACTTCTGTATTTTGAAAATTAGTAGTGAAAAGACAGTGATCCTGTTAGCTTATTACAAGGGGAAACATGATTCTAACATTCAACAGAGTTTGAAACATACAACCAGTAGTAGGTTATGAAACAAAAGGCTATGGTTGATAACAACCAACATCAAGTTAAAGAATGTGGCTATGGCTGGACAGCTGGTTGGTTACTACTGAGCAATAGACTGAAGACAGTCCTCAACACAAACATTATGTACAAAGTCTCCACATTCACTTGGCTCACATGACTAATCAATTGATGCACCAGTCTAACACACAAATACACCTTTCTCTCTCTCTCTCTCTCTCTCTCTCTCTCTCTCTCTCTATACTGTGTACAACCTTTCTGAAGTTTACTTGGGAACTGGCTACATAAGACAATATTTAACACGATTACGGTTCTATATATTGGCGAGTAGATTCATTGTGAGAGCTGTAAATATCCCAGTCTCATTTCAACTGCATCTCTGCATGTGACTGGCCGTGTGATGCTGGGACTTTGCATGGAGAATGCAAACTCCATAACTCGCTTAAACATCACCAGCTTCTTGGATCAGAGGGACTCAGATCTGGTAGTCTCTTGCATCTACACTTCATCTGGGGCCATGTCACAATTGTTGTTGACCGTGTTGGCAGAAAGAGTGCTTGGGGCCTGGTAAAATATGGCTTGGGTTAGTTGGGGTCGTTAGAATTTGGAAAAAAAGATATCCAAATACTAAAAAGGAAAAATTATATAGGAGGAATTACGCTGACAAACTACATTATATTGCGCACATAATGAAATACAACAAAAACTAGAAAAAAAAAGTTAGAAGTGTGCATCATATTCTAAATTTTATAATTAATGTTAGAATCTGATTTTTTTTAATCATGAACAACTTATTTCTATAATGCCATGTGGAACACCAGGGTAATACAACGAGACAAAACAACACGAAGGTTTAATGCAATGGCAAATGAGGTGGGGGTAAGAAAGGCATGACAAACAAGCCAACAGGTCATGGTGACTGTTACAACTCATGCCAAGAAGTGTGTTGGGCCAACATGAGAAAGTTGGACAACGTGCCACAAGGGTGGTCGGTAGAGCTCTGGGCTCATGCACGCGCACTACTGAGGCCCTTACTTACATGCACCACATGACCTTGCACGGGTTGCTTCCTCACAGAGTGAATTTTGTAACAAGATGTGACAGGCACCATCTCCTGTTGGTGGATAGATAGGGACATCAACCCTGGTGCAAGTGGAAGGGAAGCTGAGCTCAGGGGTACAATCTGGGCTGTTCTATCACACCCTCAATTGTTTTTAATCACACACTTGCACTCAAAAATTGTTCTCTTCACTTATATTTGCATCATACAACCACAATTTATTAAAATAAATAGCCAAGATAGCCAAATACTCTCGTCAATTTGTTTGTCACATTTTCAACAACAACAAAAAAAAATCCTTTGAGCCCCCACTTTTATTCCCTTCAGAGGAACTACCACCTGCCAAGAGACTTAAGAGAAGATAAGATACTGCTGGAGTACAATGATTAGCTTCTAACAGCTCTATTTAATTAGACTCATAACATATAATTTACAAAGTACAGAATTAACAAAACTTCCTTTAGTGCAAATGAAAACCTTATTCCCCAGTTAAACGTGTGTGTTATGTACATGTTTGGTGCATGCATGTATACATGATTACAATGCTGGGTCTGCTACCAGAGTATCTGTCCATTATTTATTCAGTTTTCACTCAGTCCTGAAGTAATCAATGGATAATTGATTGACCCAAATGTCCTTGAACTCTTGCTGCAGACATGACATGGACAAAATGTGGCAGGACTCCATCTTCATATTCCAGGTATTCTCAAAAGGATTGAGGTCTGGAATATTCCTTGGTCACTGTTAAACCTCAATATTTTTCTCAGCAAGCCACTTACTTACTTTTTTTGGCCTTGTCAGGGGGTGCTATCATGCAGAAAGGTGGTGCTGCCAGGAATTTAGAAAATATTCAGCAGGTGGTCCTTGACAACAGTGATGTAGCAGTCGGCATTCATTGTAAAGTTTTTGCAAAGTAGAAACTCACACAGCCAAGTAAACTGCTAAAGCAACCCCAAACCCTGATGGACTGTGGGTGTTTTAGAGTGCTCAGTGTATACAGGGTCATACCTGCTCATGGAGGAGGGGTGCCTCACCCTGCTTTGACAACCTTGAATGCATTGGAAAACTGCAAGTGTTCCTTCTTCATATGGGGTATGAGTAGGGTTCCCCTTGCAGCATGACTTGGTAGGCAGTGATGGATGCACTAAATCGAAGAGTTCAGGAGGCATTTCTTTGAGCTGTGATGCAAAATGTCTGTGTATTTCTACATAATTCTCTGCACAGAATATATATGTGTGTGTGTGTGTGTGTGTGTGTGTGTGTGTGTGTGTGTGTGTGTGTGTGTGTGGTGTGTGTGTGTGTGTGTGTGTGTGTGTGTGTGCTGTGTGTGTGTGTGTGTCTGTGTGTGTGTGTGTGTCTGTGTGTGTGTGTGTCTGTGTGTGTGTGTGTGTCTGTGTGTGTGTGTGTGTCTGTGTGTGTGTGTGTGTCTGTGTGTGTGTGTGTCTGTGTCTGTGTGTGTCTGTGTGTGTCTGTGTGTGTCTGTGTCTGTGTGTGTGTGTGTCTGTCTGTGTGTGTCTGTGTGTGTCTGTGTCTGTGTGTGTCTGTGTGTGTCTGTGTCTGTGTGTGTGTGTGTGTCTGTGTGTTAGTTACCATTTGGTCCTAGGCACATGTCGATTAGACACTAGGCCTGTTGTATGTGCATGCGTGTGTGTGTGTGTGTGTGTGTGTGTGTGTGTGTGTGTGTGTGTGTACTCACCTAATTGTGGTTGCAGGGGTCGATACTCAGCTCCTGGCCCCACCTCTTCACTGATCGCTACTGGATCCTCTCTCTCTCTGCTTCCTGAGCTTTGTCATACCTCTTCTTAAAACTATGTATGGTTCCTGCCTCCACTACTTCACTTGCTAGGCTATTCCACTTGCTGACAACTCTATGACTGAAGAAATACTTCCTAACGTCCCTGTGACTCGTCTGAGTCTTCAGCTTCCAGTTGTGACCCCTTGTCCCTGTGTCCCCTCTCTGGAACATCCTATCTCTGTCCACCTTGTGTGTGTGTGTGTATGTGTGTATGTGTGTGTATATGTGTGTGTGTATATGTGTGTGTGTGTGTATGTGTGTGTGTGTATATGTGTGTACTCACCTAGTTGTACTCACCTAGTTGAGGTTGCAGGGGTCGAGTCCATGCTCCTGGCCCCGCCTCTTCACTGGTCGCTACTAGGTCACTCTCCCTGAACCATGAGCTTTATCGTACCTCTGCTTAAAGCTATGTATGGATCCTGCCTCCACTACATCGCTTCCCAAACTATTCCACTTCCTGACTACTCTGTGGCTGAAGAAATACTTCCTAACATCCCTTTGATTCATCTGTGTCTTCAGCTTCCAACTGTGTCCCCGTGTTGCTGTGTCCAGTCTCTGGAACATCCTGTCTTTGTCCACCTTGTCAATTCCTCTCAGTATTTTGTAAGTCGTTATCATGTCCCCCCTATCTCTCCTGTCCTCCAGTGTCGTCAGGTTGATTTCCCTTAACCTCTCCTCATAGGACATACCTCTTAACTCTGGGACCAGTCTTGTTGCAAACCTTTGCACTTTCTCTAGTGTGTGTGTGTGTGTGTGTGAGTATAAAGCTGCAATATTAGGCAGTGTATAGTTATGGGCTGAAGGAACTTTCATAAAATGGAAGGGCGGCTGAAGTATGCTCAGTTAGGTTTATGAGACTATTATATTATTGTAACCACAAACGAGTGGTACTGATCAATAACAACACTGCGTTAGCCAGGACAGTACAACATGGGTTCGAATCCTTGGCTAGCAGTGTTGTTATGGATATATTAGAAAACGAAACGTTTTCTTATAATTACGCCCTAGTGTTTGCCCACGTGTCTTTTTAACCCTATCGGTGTATATACAATGAGTTATATACATTTCGGTACAAATGCACATCTCTGTGTATACTCCACCCTCCACTACATTAATCGTGGTACTGTACTTGTAGCAGCGAGTTACGAGATATATAGTGTGGGATGGAGCACACTTCAAGGCTTCCTGCGTCAGTGTTTTGGTCAGGTTCCACTGCGTACGTTATAAATATATACATGGCTGTCTGCCTCATGAAGTATTTATAATACAGACAGTGGCACCTCAGATTGTGGGTTCGAATCCCGCCTGCAGAGTTGGGTGCGTACGTACGCTTACACACACACACACTCGACCCCTGCAACCTCAACTAGGCGAGTACACACACACGTCAAGAAATTAGAGAAAGTGCAAAGGTTTGCAACAAGGCTGGTTCCAGAGCTAAGGGGAATGTCTTATGAATTAAGGGAAATCGGTCTCATGACACTGGAGGACAGGAAGGTCAGTGGAGACATGATAACAACATACAAAATACCGCATGGAATAGACAAGGTGGACAGAGGCAGGATGTTCCAGAGATGGGACACAGAAACAAGGGGTCACAATTGGAAGCTGAAGACTTAGATGAGTCAAAGGGATGTTAGGAAGTATTTCAGCCACAAAGTTGTTAGGAAGTGGAATAGTCTGGCAAGCGATGTAGTGGAGGCAGAAGCTATACATAGTTTTAAGACGAGGTATGATAAAGCTCATGGAGCAGGGAGATGGAGGACCCAGTAGCGGTCAGTGAAGAGGCGGGGCCAGGAGCTGAGTCTTGACCCCTGCAACCAGAATTAGGTGAGTATACAGTTGGAAGTAAGGAGTCACAATTGGAAGTTGAAGACTCAGATGAATCACAGGGATGTTAGGAAGTATTTCTTCAGTCACAGAGTAGTCAGGAAGTGGAATAGTCTGGGAAGTGATGTAGTGGAGGCAGGATCCATACACAGCTTTAAGAATAGGTATGATAAAGCTCATGGAGCAGGAAAAGTGACCTAACAGCAGTCAGTGACTCGACCCATGCAACCAAACTAGGGGAGTACAACTAGGCGAGTACACACACACACACACACACACACACACACACACACACACACACACACACACACACACACACACACACACACACACACAAAATTATAAAACATGACCTGTACTTGTGCAACAAACACATACATACTCAGCCCGACATGAAGCCAGGTTTCCCTAATGACCCCACTGTCAACCAGCCTGTTGGTGCCAGAGGCACTGCGATGATTTCGCACTTGTATTGTTTTCTCCGGCTGGAAATCCGTGCTGGTCATAATTCTTAGATACTTTACACTAACCAGTGTTATATAGCTTATTACTTTTAATTTCCCAGGTTAAAAACCATAAGGTCTACCTGGAGGTTATTCCGGGGATCAATGCCCCCGCGGCCCGGTCTACGACCAGGCCTCCGGGTGGATCAGGGCCTGATCAACCAGGCTGTTACTGCTGGCCGCACGCAGTCCAACGTACGAACCACAGCCCGGCTGATCTAGCACTGACTTTACGTATCTGTCCAGCTCCCTCTTGAAGGCAGCCAGGGGCTTATTGGCAATTCCCCCTTATGCTTGGTGGGAGGCTGTTGAACAGTCTTGGGCCCCGGACACTTATGGTGTTTCTCTTAGTGTACCAGTGGCGCCCCTACTTTTAATTGGGGGCATTTTGCATCGCCTGCCCAGTCTTTTACTTTCGTAGGGAGTGATTTCTGTGTGCAGATTCGGAACCATTCCTTCCAGGATTTTCCAAGTGTAGATTATGATATATCTGTGTGTGTGTGTGTGTGTGTGTGTGTGTGTGTGTGTGTGTGTGTGTGTGCGCGCGCGTGCGTGCGTGCGTGCGCCCCCACTTCTAAGTATTCATACTGCTAATAAATACCAGTAATTCTAAAACTTAGTGTGTCTGTGTGTGTGTGTCTGTGTGTGTGTGTGTGTGTCTGTGTGTGTGTGTCTGTGTGTGTGTGTCTGTGTGTGTGTGTCTGTGTGTGTGTCTGTGTGTGTGTGTCTGTGTGTGTGTGTCTGTGTGTGTGTGTCTGTGTGTGTGTGTCTGTGTGTGTGTGTGTGTGTGTGTGTGTCTGTGTGTGTGTGTGCGCGTGCGTGCATGCGTGCTCCCCCGCTTCTAAGTATTCATACTGCTAATAAATACCAGTAATTCTAAAACTTACCAACAGTCATTCTAACACTTATCAATTCTACTTATAAAATGTTGAAAGTAACTAGGTTGTAAAATTTAGCTTGTCTCATCTTCAACAAGTGTCTGACGTTCTCTCTCATTAGACCGCTTTACTCCTCA